ACAATTGTTAGATTTTACAATTTTTCATTTTTTGATCTTTTGTCTCATTTTTTAATTTTTCAAGTTTTTGACTGTCATTTTCCATTTTGCCAATTTTCTCATTTTCATTTTCTCGATTTTATGTCACAATTTTGGGTTTCATTTCTTTTACTTTTTTAATGTTTCTTACTATTTTTTTGATATTGCTTTTCTTCAATTTTTCAAGTTCTTCATTTCAAATTTTTAGATATTTCAAAGTTTTCCTTTTATGCTTTATCGTTTTTTAATTTTTGATTTTTCAAATGTACAATTTTGCAATTTTTCCATTTTCGAAAATCGAAAAGTTAAAAATCGTTAAACTAAACAAATAGAAAAAAATTAAAAATCGAAAAACTGAGAAAAATGAAAAACTGAAACATTGTAAAACTAAACATCGACTGATTTAAAAATCGAAAAAATTTAAGAAGAAAAAACGAATCGAATCGAAAAATTGGAAAACTCAAAAATTGTAAAATCGAAAAATGAAAAATCGAATAAATGAAGAAGTTTTAAATCCAATAATTGATAAATAAAAACAAAATTTTTGTTATTACATATTTAAATTGAAAATCAAAAAAATTTCGAAGCAAAAATTGAGGAAACGAAAAACTGAAAAATTTTTATAATTTTCAATAACCAATTGTACGAATTTATTTTTATTTAAGTATTTAAATGAAAATTAATAATTTTGAAATTTTTTATTTTAAAGAATAATAATTTTTCGAGTTTACAATTATCGTATTGATTGTTCTAAATTTTAATTTCAATGGTTCAAATTTTTGATTTTTCAGTTTATTTTACATGAAGGTATCAGATTTTTCAATTTTTGATTTTCCCTTAACACTACACCTTGTAATTTTTCGAAAAATCTGAATTTTTTAGTTTTTTAATTTTCTTTCATTTTCCAATTTTTCCAATTTTCAATGTCTTGGTTTCATAATTTTTCGTTTTTTCAACCTCAACTTTTTCAATTTTTCAATTTCTCGACTTCCAAATTTTTCAGTTTGTCATTCCTTCAATTTTCCAATCGACAATTTTTCGATTTTACAATTTTTCATTTTTTGATTTTTCATTTTCTCAATTTTGAACTTTTCAAATGTTTGATTTTTATTTTCCATTTTTCCGATTTTTCATTTTCATTTTCTCGATTTTACATCACAATTTTTCGTTTTTTCATTTCATTTACTTATTCAATGTGTCCTTCGATTGTTTGACTTTTCATTTCTGCAATTTTTCAAAAAGTCGAAACTGAAAAAACAAAAAATTATAAAATCGTAACTTTTGAAAAATCGAAAAATCGGAAAAATGTGTCTTTCGATTTTCTGACTTTTCATTTCTGCAATTTTTGAAGTTCTTGATTTCCAATTTTTAGATATTTCAAAGTTTTCATTTTATGCTTTTCCGTTTTTTTCATTTTTGATTTTTCAGTTGTACAATTTTGCAAATTTTCCATTTTCAAAAATTTAAAAATTAGAAATCCTTAAACTACACAATTAGAAAAAATTGAAACATCGAAAAACTAGAAAAACGAAAAATTGAAACATTGAAAAACTAAAAATCGAAAAAATTCATGAATCGAAAAAATGGAAAGAAGAAAAAACGAATCGAATCGAAAATTGGAAAACACAAAAATTGTAAAATCGATTAATTAAAAATCGAAAATTGGAAAATCGAATGAATGAAAAAGTTTTAAAACCCTTAATTGAAGAAATTTAAAAATCGTCAAATGAAAAAGCAAACATTTTTACAATTTATAATTTTATTATTACATATTTGGAATGAGAAATAGAAAAATTTCGAAGCAAAAATTGATCTCAAAGTTGAAAAGTCGAAAAATTGAAAACACAAAAATTTTAACTCGAGAAATTGTAAAATCCAAAATTTTAAAAAAGTCACGTAGAATAAAGGAAAATTATAAAATTAGAACATTGAAAAATCGGAAAATGAAAAAATAAAGAAAATGAAAAACTATCTAAAAATTGAAATATCCAAAAGTTGGAAAATTGAAAACCAGAAAATTTTAAAAATGAAAACTCGAAGATTTGCACATCATAAAAAAACAAAAAGAATTGAAAAATTGATACATCAAAAATTTAATACTCGAGAAATTCTAAATCGAAAAATTACAAAATCTAGAAATTGAAGAAACAAAAAAAAAATTGAAAAATTGCAAATTCAAATTTGAAGAAACGAAAAACGGAAAAAATTAAAATTCAAAGACACGAAAATATAAAATCGAAACATTAAAAAATTAAAAATTGAAAACTCGAAAAACTCTAAATTTTAAACTTTGAAAACTGAAGAACTGAAAATTTGTTAAATGGAAAAATTATGGAATCGTCATAATTATTATAAAGGCGAAAAACGAAAAAATGAAAAATTTAATATCGAAAAATTGAAAAATTAAAAATAGGAAATTGAAAAATCGATTAAATGAAAGAATGAAAAATTTTATTGAAAATTATAATTTTTCTACTACATATTTAAAACGAAAATTATAAAAATTTCGAAGCAAAAATTATAGAAACGAAAAACTGAAAAATCCAAACTTGGAAAAACGAAAAATTAAAAAATCTAAAAGTTGAAAACGAAAAATTAAATCGAAAACCCGAAAAATTTAAAACCAGTTCAAATCCAAAATTGCAAAATCTAAAAATTTAAATAACCAAAAGTTAGAAAATCGAAGAACTGAAAAATTTAAGAATGAAAACTCGAAGTGTTGCTTATTGCAAATTTGAAAAAACAAAAAAAAGGAAAAACTGAAAAACTGCAAATCGAAAAAATGCAAAATTTAAAAATTGAAACGTCTAAAAGTTAAAACATCGAAAAATAGAAAGATTTATAAATGAAAAGTCGAAGAGTTGCATGTCGTAAAATTAAAGCAACAAAAAAAAATAAGAATTGAAAAATTGCAAATCTAAATTTTAAGAAACAAAAAACCCAAAAAATCAAAATTTGAAGACAAAAAATATAAAATCCAAACATTGAAAAATTGAATCATTAAAAAATTAAAGAAAATGAAAAACCGAACGAAAAACTGGAAAATTAAAAATTGAAAAGTCGAAAAATCGTAAATTCTAAAAATTGAACAATTCTAAAGTTGGAAAATTGAAGAACTCAAAAATTGTAAAATCGAAAAATTATGGAATCGTCATAATTGTATGGAAAGTTGAAAAACGAAAAACTGAAAAATTTAATATGGAGAAATTGAAAAATTAAAAATGAAATAAATGAAAAAGTGAAAATTTTTAAAAATTATAGTTTATTATTATATTTAAAATGAAAATCAGAAAAATTTCGAAACAAAAACTGAGGAAACGTAAAACTGGAAAATCGGAAACTAAAAAGTCTAAAATTGGAAAAACGAAAAATTTAAAACCGAAAATTGCAAATCAAAAATTGAAGGCACGAAAAATTAAATAATCGAAAAACTGGAAACTTAAAAACTAGGAAAAATCAAAATTGCAAAATTGAAACATCCAAAAGTTGAAAAATCGAAAACCAGAAAATTTAAAAAATGTAAACTCGAAGATTTGCATATCGTAAAAAAACAAAAAAAAAACGAAAAATTGAAACATCAAACATTGAAAACTCGAGAAATTTTAAATCGAAAAATTACAAAATCTAGAAATTGAAGAAACAAAAAAATAAAAATTGAAAAATTGCAAATTGAAATTTGAAGAAACGAAAAACAGAAAAAATTAAAATTCAAAGACAAGAAAATATAAAATCGAAACATTAAAAAATTAAAAATTGAAAACTCCAAAAAACTCTAAATTTTAAACTTTGAAAATTGACGAACTGAAAATTTATTAAATGGAAAAATTATGGAATCGTCATAATTATTGTAAAGGCGAAAAACAAGAAAATTAAAAATTTAATATCGAAAAATTGAAAAATTAAAAATAGGAAATTGAAAAATCGATTAAATGAAAGAATGAAAAATTTTATTGAAGATTATAATTTTTTTACTACATATTTAAAACGAAAATTGTAAAAATTTCAAAGCAAAAATTAAAGAAACGAAAAACTGAAAAATCCAAAATTGGAAAATCTAAAAATTTAAACAACCAAAAATTAGAATATCGAAAAACTGAAAAATTTATGAATGAAAACTCGAAGTGTTGAATATCGCAAATTTGAAAAAAGAAAAAAAAGGAAAAACTGAAAAACAACAAATCGAAAAATTGCAAAATTTAAAAACTGAAACATCTAAAAGTTAAAAAATCGAAAAATTGAAAGATTTATAAATAAAAAGTCGAAGAGCTGCATGTCGTAAAATTAAAGAAACAAAAAAAAATTAAGAATTGAAAAATTGCAAATTCAAGAAACAAAAAACTGAAAAAATTAAATTTTGAAGACAAAAAATATAAAATCCAAACATTGAAAAACTGAATCATCAAAAAATTAAATAAAATGAAAAACCGAACGAAATACTGGAAAATTAAAAATTGAAAAGTCTAAAAATTACAAATTCTAAAAATTAAACAATTCTAAAGTGGGAAAATTGAAGAACTCAAAAATTGTAGAATCGAAAAATTTTGGAATCGTCATAATTGTAAAGTTGAAAAACAAAAAACTGAAGAATTTAAAAAATAAATGAAAAAGCGAAAAATATAGAAATTAAAAATTAAATACTCGAGAAATTTTAAATCCAAAAATGAATGTATAGAATTGACAAAAATTTAGAAAATAATTAAAACGGTCAAAAGAATCTTTAAAGAGAGTTTTTATCTATATAAAAGCCATAGAATTTAGTTTTCTCTGGAGGTATATCATTAAAGCATCTATTATTTAGAAAATTATTAACTTTGTAATATAAACAACTTTATTAAGGATTGTATGTTGTAATTTTTGGCTTGTAGACTTTATTGAGCGAATTTCAACTTTTGAATTGTTACTATTAATGATTTTATATGAGTAGTTATTTCGTTGTATATAAAACTCTTTTTAAATTTAAATTGACCGTTTTAATGTTACAGATGGCCTGCAACTGCCCGGTGACCCAACCGGGCCCCACCCTCGCCTCCACCTGCGGCGGCGCCCAATACATGCTCTTCATGGGCCTCCTCGAAGTCTTCCTGCGCTCCCAGTGCGACCTTGAAGACCCCTGCGGCCGCCCCCACAACACCCCCGTCCTCCCCGAATACGACTTCATCATAGTCGGCGCCGGCAGCTCAGGCTCCGTCGTCGCTAGCCGCCTGTCCGAAATCCCCGAATGGAACGTCCTCCTCATCGAAGCAGGCCTGGACGAACCCACAGGAACCCAAGTCCCGTCCATGTTTCTCAACTTCATCGGCTCCGACATCGATTGGGCCTACCAAACCGAGCCCGAGAAGCAAGCCTGTCTGGGGGAGACCGAACAACGCTGCTATTGGCCGAGGGGGAAGGTCCTGGGCGGGACTTCAGTCATGAACGGGATGATGTACATCCGCGGTTCGAGGAAGGACTACGACGACTGGGCGGCGGCTGGGAATGAAGGGTGGAGCTACAATGAAGTGCTGCCTTATTTCTTGAAAAGTGAGGACAACAAGCAGATCGAGGAGATGGATAGGGGGTATCATGCGTCGGGGGGGTTGTTGACGGTGTCGCACTTTCCGTATCATCCCCCGTTGTCACAGGCGTTGCTGAAAGGGGCGCAGGAGCTGGGGTATCCCGTGAGGGATTTGAATGGGGCGTATCATACAGGGTTCAACATAGCGCAAACGACCAATCGCAATGGGTCGAGGTTGAGTACAGCGAAGGCGTTTCTGAGACCGTTCAAGAATAGGAGGAACTTGCATATTTTGATGAACTCGACGGTGACGAGGGTGTTAATCAATACGACGACGAAGCAGGCGTATGGGGTGGAAGTTATCAACAATGGGGTGAAGCAGGTGATTTATGCGAGCAAGGAAGTGGTGGTTTCAGGGGGTGAGTAGCTCGTGCGTGGTTGGTGGGGTGTGTTAAGGTTTAACGTTTTAGGAGCGGTGAATTCCCCCCAGATACTTCTTCTGAGTGGGGTGGGGCCGAAAAAAGATCTACAACAGGTGAATGTCCCAGTTGTGCATCCGTTAGAAGGGGTTGGAAAAAATTTGCACAACCACGTCGCATTCTTTGTCAATTTTAATATCAATGATACTAATAGTTCTCCGTTGAATTGGGCCACAGCTATGGAGTACTTGCTTTTTAGAGATGGCTTAATGAGTGGTACTGGTAAGTCAAAAAATTAGTGAATTATTAATATAGAATTTCCACCTCCAAAACTTTTTGAAACTTTTTGCAAAGAAAATACCAGATAGAATTCGATAATTTTTTGGTCCAGTAGTATTCAACCCTATATTGTATCTAGGTATATGTCAAAAAACTTCAACTGATCATCTTAATACTTCCACTTCAAATCAATTAACAATTTTTGATGCAAATATTATCTCTCGGAATGAAGATGCTCTCATTGGAGCCAAAGCGAAACTGATACCGACCGAAAAATTTTGTTGGATACAATTGTATCAAATCTGTCTTTTTTCAACTTTCGCTTCTTCTTCTAGGAATCTCCGAAGTCACTGGCTTCATCAACACCAAATACAACGACCCCCGCCTCGAGCACCCCGACATCCAGTTCTTCTTCGGCGGCTTCTTGGCCAACTGCGCCCGCACTGGTCAAGTAGGCGAGCGAGTCGACAACAGCACCCGCTCCATCCAAATAATCCCCACAGTCCTCCACCCCAAGAGCCGCGGCTTCCTCAAGCTCCGCGACAAGAACCCCCTCAGCGCCCCCCTCATCTACGCCAACTACTACACCCACCCCGACGACCTCAAAGTCGTCATCGAGGGAATCAAGTTCGCCATCAAGCTATCAGAGACCAAAGGTACGCTCCACCCCTATATTTCCCCATCTAACTCTAGTTTTGCAGCTCTGAAACGCTACGGCTTCCAACTGGACCGAACGCCCGTCCAAGGGTGCGAAAGTTTGACGTTTGGTACCGACCCCTACTGGGAGTGCGCGGCCAAGCAGCAAACCGGGCCCGAGAACCACCAAGCGGGTAGTTGCAAGATGGGGCCGGCGAGCGATCGTCTGGCTGTGGTCAACGCGTTGCTGCAAGTGCATGGGGTTGACAGGCTGAGGGTGATCGATGCTAGTGTCATGCCGGCGGTCACCACGGGGAACACGAACGCTCCAGCTATCATGATTGCGGAGAAGGGGAGCGATTTGATCAAGGCGAGGTGGCTGACGCCGCAAGCGGGGTTCTTCTACACGAATATGCCCAGTCAGAGGATAGATAGGCAGTGGGGGTCGTGGTGAGGGGTAGTGCAATTGTAAAGAAATCAGTATTTATTTCGTTAGGTGATAGTTAGTTTGTAAGTGCGATTTTACAATAAATTTTTAAAGTAGATAATCTTTAATCTTTAATCTTTATTGATCATTCTACAGGTAAAAACCCAGTTACAGAGATCAAAGTGTACAATATAAAATAGAATAACACAATAAAATGACAGAGTATACATAATAGAGACAACGGAACGTTTCACGATTCCACAACACTTAAAGCGGCACGAGCATGATTTAAAATCGAATTTATTGAGTCATGGTGTAAATCACAATCTTGACAAAGAACGTTGTATGTGGACATCAATACTGCTACTGGAGCTTTGACTGCTACATTGGTACGGCTGTAAGAGAGCTTGAACAACGGAGCGTAACGCAGCCCAGGACGAGGAACATTAAACCAAAGGTAACCCAAGATAAAAGGGCAGTCAATTTTACCATGAGCTAACTTATGTAGGAAACGCAAGACTATTAACATTCTTCGAGTTTCTAGAGAAGAAAATTGAAATCTATTCAAGAGAATATTGTAATCGATGCCACGTACAGGATAAGCACCGTCCATTCTGAAGGCGAGAAATTTTAAAAAACGTCGTTGCACTTTTTCAATGGACATATTATATGTTCTATAGATGGGGTACCAGATCAACGCACCATATTCAAGGTGAGGTCGCACCAATGAGCAAAACAGGGTATTCAAAATGGTCAAATTGGTAAAATTTCGACAGTTTCTATGTATAAAACCGTAGATTTTGAATGCCTTATTGATAGCATTAAATATATGCTCTTTAAACATAAGTTGAGCACCAAACAGGATACCTAGATCTTTGAAATTGAAATTGCGGTGTAATACTGTTCCTTCAATTGAATATGGGTATATATTGTAATTGAGTTTTTTTGTAAAGGATACAATACTGCATTTAGATAAATTTAGGCGAAGACGATTAGAACGACACCACTTGGATAGAACATTGAGACAATTTTGTAATGTGACACAGTCAGCAATTGACCCGATTTCCATGAAGATCTTTAAATCGTCAGCGAAGAGCAATTTATTACAGGGTTCCAGCGCGTCAGTAATATCATTGATGTACATTAGAAATAAAAGGGGTCCAAGGTTGGATCCTTGGGGGACACCTGATGTTGAAACAAAAACTATAGATTTAAATTTACGATATACAACTTGTTGACGCCTATTGAGAAGATAAGATTTCAGAAGAGCAAGAAGAGAGTTAGAGAAAGTAAAGGTTTCAAGTTTCTTAAGCAGGACGTAGTGATCAATTTGATCGAAGGCCTTCTGAAAATCCGTATATATAACCTCAACTTGACTATTTCTATCTAGCGCATTAGAAGCGAACTGGGAGAAACATGCTAGATTAGTAATGGTGGATTTTCCTTGCATAAACCCATGCTGATATTCAGAAATATAATTTTTAACAGACGTATAAATACGAGCATACAGTATGCTCTCAAATACCTACTTTGGAAAAATTGCATAAGATGGATATGGGCCTATAGTTTGTGACTTGGGAGGGATCCCCTTTCTTTAGTACCGGACAGATTTGTGCCAATTTTCAGATATTAGGAAGTGTAGATGACTTCAACATAATATTAAAGATATGTGAAAGCGGTTTAGAGAGAACATGGGCACAATCTTTTAATAAAAAACTTGGGATGCTGTCAGGTCCAGAAGTCATAGAGTTCTTCATACGCTTCAATTCTCCAATAATTTCATCTTCAGATATATATGTAACCGATACTGTGTTGTTAACCTTCGTGAAAATAACATCGTCTGTGAGAGGTGAAGAGTCAATAAAAACACTTTTGAAGTAATCAGCAAAGGAGTTGACAATAATATTAGGATCAGAGTTGCATTCATCGTTGTAAAACATTGTACCGGGAATACGTGTAACACCTCTCTTTGAGCGGACAAAGGACCAAAACTTTTTTGGATCCAGGGTAATGTTCTTTTCCATCTGCAATAGGTATTCGGTATATGCGTTAGTGATGAGTTTCTTAGCATCAGATCTAAGTTTCCGAAACTGGTCATGAAAGTACAGTTTATGAGTCTTCACATATTTTCTACGCATGACCGATTTGAGTCGAAGACATTTTATAATTTCTTTGTGGAACCAAGGAGGGTATATGCGTCGTGTTTTCTTGGAGGAGCCAACTTTGGGCACGCACAAATCAAATAGAGAATATAAGACAGTGTACATGTGTTCACAGGCGTCATCGACATTGCTAAAATTGTATATACTGGACCAGTCATAATTTAATAATAAGTCATAAAGGCAAGGAAAATCAGCTTTTCTAAAATTAAAACCAGCGTCATCAGAGTTAAAACAGAAATTGCTACTTTTCTTGCAAGGCACCAAATCAATATGGAATAATAATGTAGGATGAAGTGGATCTTCTGGTACCAGAAAAAAATCAGATCTCAAAACGGTGCAGGGAAACGTAGAAAATATAAGGTCAAGCAAACTGTCGTAGTTATTCAGAATATGATTATACTGGCAGAAGCCGCAAAATGATACAAAGTTATTAAGGCAGTGACTGAAGTTATTGTTTAATTCGGATCCAAACTTAGGAGTATTAAAATCACCTACGAAGAGAACAAGATTGTTATGGATTTGATCAAGACTGCTAACGAGATCAAAGAAATCCACATAATCAGTAATAGATACAGGTGGAGGGATATAAACAGTAAAGATAAAAAAATGCAAGTAATTGGAGAGAAAGAGTTCAATTCCCACAAAGTCGATGGATGGAATAGCGTTGGTAATATTGCAAACGTCAACTGTACAACACGAAAACTTGTTATTGATGGCAATCAAAACTCCGCCACCTCTGACAACACCCAGATGTTTATACTTTCGATCACAGCGAAAGATGCAATCGTTGTCAGAAAATAATTCTGAATTTGCAACGTCCTCATGCAACCATGTTTCAGTAAGAATTAAAACGTCGACTTCGTCAACACAAGATAATAAGTTGTTCGAAAATGAGTCAAATTTGGAGTTTAAGCCTCTAACATTCTGATATAAAAAGCTCAGAGTCGTAGTGATGAAAGTACTATTAAGTGAAATGTTTTGAATTAGAGAAGTGGATGCCGTTAGACGTGAAACTAAGTTATTTTTATTTAAAATTTGGGAACGCAGATGAACCGACTCGAAAAAACTGAGGTTTACCGTGCATAGAAGTATATTATTGATTGAAGTGGTAAATATTTCATTTCTAGGAGCTGAAGTATAATGTTGGCATTTTATCGGAGAAATAGGTGCAGTATTTAGGGCATCAACATTGCCTCGAGACAAGTAATTAACAAGAGAAAATATTATAGTTCTCTTAGTAACGTCATTGATGGAAATATGAGATTGAAACTGTCTAAATATAAATTTATTTGCATCAAGGAAAAATATATTATTATGCGTATTGGATGTTGCCTTTTTATGTAATTGACAATTAATCTCATATGCAAATTTGTTTAAGACGGGACGATCTGGCAAAAATGGATAACCAATAAGAATAATCTTAGTATTTTTAAATTTGTCAGAAGCTAAGTCGTTGATGATATCATGATTCAGTATTTTGCCACTCGATACTTCTACATCTCCGCCAAATATCATAACGAAGTCTTGACAGTGAACCGTCGAAATATTATCGGCAACTATCTTTTCAAAAGATGCATTGGGCTTGATTATGGAAGAAACGTCGTATTCATTGTGTGATAGATATTCGTTGAGTAATTTGACACAATTACGTCCCTTACCATCAGCCAGTAAAATAATTTTACGTCGATTAAATAGTTGGGTCTTGAGCAGATATGGTTTATCAGTTTCAGAGGGTGTACAAGCTGGTGTTTGGTTAGTAGAAATTGACCCTTAGTTGGTTTTAAAAATAGTATCTACCACAGGCTTAAAAGCATCAAATTCTTGTCTAACAGACGTCGTAATAGATGATTTTAGATCGTCACGTAAATTCTCAAATAACATGGATACGCGTTCCTCAACTTCATCTAAAATATGTTTAACAGAATCCTTGAAGGACTTCTTCAATTCATCAAGTTCCGCTCTAAGAAACTCGTTCTGTTCACCCAGGAGTGTGATCGTCGTATTTTCAAGGTCAATTTTACTGGATTTATCACATCGAGAACAGGAGTTAATTGAATTTACATCATCAGCAATTAACGAATAATTTTTGAAGGAACGCAAACAGCTCAAATGAAATACATTCTTACATTTAGTACAAGTTGTAGAATTAATCACCAAACTCTTACATTTACAACAAACAGAATTCATTATGTATACAAAAAGAATAATTTTTGAAAATTAAATTTTGGATTAAAAGATTAAAGACGGGGACACACACTTCACCCCTACGGTGCTTTTCGTGGGGACTTATTAAAGAAACAGACAAGAAAGCAACGGAGAGGTTATGATGTGTAAGATCAAAACAGAGGTTAAGAGGTTAAAAAAGGACCCGACAATTAGCAAGCAAATAAAAACTTACAATGAAAAACCAGTTTTTTACACAAGAAAAGAAAACTCAAGTTTCACTAACATTACTTTAAATATTAACAAATAAACAGTAATAATTACGATAACAGTAATGTTTCAATTTACCTTCATGTTCCAATGTGATAAGGTGTACAGAGTGTGATTAGTGGGTTTATTTCGTTGTTGAGACTTGAGATTAATCAGAAGACTTTTTCCATCTTTATGGTAAAAGAAGTTGACTTGTTACCATAAACCAGGATCGTAAAAATCGCGAATTACGTTTACTTGGTTATAAATATTGCGGTCCTGGTACTAAGTTTGAGAAGAGGCTTGAATGCGGCGACACAGGAATTAATGAGTTAGATAAAGCGTGTAAGGAGCACGATCGGCCTAGTTTGGGACAGTTTTCATCCCATTTGAAATGTCCTGTAAAAACCAGAGAAATTGACTTAGGGCAATAGTCTTTTTTCTTAACAATCCTTATTAGACATATTTTGTCCCTCTTATATTAAAATTTGATTTTCAGTTCTGTTTTATGTGTCAAAAAAAATTAAAAGCATTCAAAAATGGCGACACTTACATTGCTGTTACAACGTACACTTTATAGTGCAAAAAAAAATTAAAAAAAGTGGTGTCTACAACGAATCTTTCTTAACAGATTGCATCAATACGTTTTTTAATAAGCGTTACACAATTCATATACAACGTCAGCTGCAGATGTCGCGCAGTGAGTGGGAGCTTCGGTCGCAAGTTGACCGCGAAATTTGGAAGGCGGAGTTTATACAGGGTAAAATACCTACCCTGACAAAAGAGGCTTCAAATTTTACTCGTTTTGTATAACTCTCCAAGTTTCGATTCTTTCGTCATTTTGTCAAAATAGAAAATATTGGTGGAATTAAAAAAAAATTAGCACAACACACCGCACAAATTATTCGAAAGCTATCGGTGTTTTATTTTTGATACATATAATATAACATATTCAGTTTTGTAAGATTCGATTTAGACATTTTTTTGCTGATAACGCAGTAAAGAGATCCATCTGGCGAATGACTAATTTTATGCATTCTTGACGTTTCTCCATTTTATAACACAATTTTTTTATGAATATGCAACCCAACATACATAAATTATCCTATTCCTTTATTTCTTTATTTTCTTGTTGTTTCTTTCGATTTACACTTCTTTATTTATTCAATTTTTCAATTTTTCATTTTTCAATTCCATGATTTTCCATTTTTTAAATTTTTTAGTTTGCAGTTTTTGGATTTCCAGTTTTCCAATTTTTCAGTTTCTTTAATTTTCAATATTTTGGTTTTACAATATATATTTCTTTTTTTTTTTATTTTCCACTTTTTCGAATTTTAAATTTTTCAATTTTTAATCTTTCGATTTTTCAAATTTTCGTTTCCTCAAATTTTCATGTTTGATTTTCACTTTTGAAATTTTTCAAGTTTTCATCATACACTTTTTCGTTTTTTTATTTTTGATTTTTCAATTTTACAGTTTCTTGACTTCTAAATTTTTCAATTTTTTAATTTTGCAATTTTTCGATATTACAGTTTCCCATTTTTCGATTTTTCACATGCTCAGTTTTTAATTTGTGATTTTCAATTTTTCGTTTCCTCAATTTTTCATTTTCTTGATTTTGTGTCACAAATTTTCATTTTTTCAATTCCCTTATTATTTGTTGCTTCTTTCGATTTTTCAATTTTTTGTTTTTCGAATTTTCAGTGTCTCAATTTTTCGTTTCGACAATTTTTCATGTTCTCGATTTTTATTTTCAGTGTGGCGAATTTTTAATTTTTATTTTCTCGATTTATATCACAATTGTCTGTTTCTTCATTTCTTTTACTTTCTGTGTTTTTTTTCGATTTTACAATTTTTCAAGTTTTCAGTTCGTCCATTATTCAATTTTTAGATTTTTCACTTTGCAGTTTTTGGATTTCCAGTCTTCCGACTTTTCAATTTCTTTAATTTTAAATATTTCTATTTCATAATACATATTACTTTTTTTTTTGATTTTTCATTTTTTCGATTCTTAAGATTTGTAATTTTTCGTATTTTATTTTTGATTTTTCAATTTTACAACTTCTCGACTTCCAAAATTTTCAATTTTTCGGTTTGCATCAGTTTTTCAATTTGGCAATTTTTCAATATTACAGATTTTCATTTTTCGATTTTTCAGTTTCTCAATTTTTCATTTTTCCCTTTTCCAATTTTTTGTTTCCGATTTTTATTTTTCATTTTCCCGATTTTTTAATTTTCACTTTTTCGATTTTATATCACAATTTTCCTTTTTTTTATTTCCTTTATTTTTTGTTGTTTCTTTCGATTTTCCAATTTTTCGCTTATTCAATTTTCAAATTTTCAGGCCAATCGATTCCAATTCGTCGATTTTCCAATTTTTAAAGTTTTCAGTTTGCAATTTTCGGGTTTCCACCCCAATAGGGGTAAAAGTAAAATATTACTTTTTGGATTTTCAATTTTTCGTTAAATTTTAGATTTCTCAAATTTTCGACAGTTTTATACTTCGATTTCTTAATTGTTTTTCAACTTTTCGATGTTTTAATTTTTCTTTTTTAAAATTTTTAAAATTTTTTTATTTCTCGATTTATCGAATTCAGATCTTTGGATGTTTTGATTGCTCAATTTCTCAATTTATCAGTTTCTAATTTTTTTTCTATTTCTCGATGTTTCGATTTTTGGATTTCTCGGTTTTTCGATTTTCCAATCTTTCGATGTTCCGATTTTTCAGTTATCCGATTTTTCAATTTTTTTTAAATTCTGGAGTTTCGATTTGTCGATTTTTCAGTATTTCGTTTTTTAAACTTTAGATTTTTCAGTTCTCGACTGTTTTATATATTTCGATTTGTGAATTTTTCGAGTTTTCAATTTTTTGAGAATTCGATATATCGAGATTCGGATATTTTGATGTTTTGATTCGAATTTTTCTTTTTTGATTCTTTGATTTCTCCATTTTTCAATTTTGTGATATTTCAATTGTTCGATGTTTTAAATTTTAGATTCGATTTCGGGATTTTTTAATTTTTCAGTTCTTCAGTATTTCTATTTTACGATTTTTCAAATTTTAACGCTGCTAAATTTTTTTCCGATTTTTCAATTAATATATATTCTTTGATTTTCCCGTTTTTCGATTTCGCAGTTTCGATTTTTCGATTTTTTATTTTTTGGATTTTCAGTTTTTCGTTTTTTTCAATTTTCGCCTTTTTCGTGATTTCTAAGTTTTTCGAGTTTTCAGTTCCTGTATATTTTAATTTTTCTTTTTTCCGAATTTTTTATTTTTCGATTTTTCAATTTTTTGGGAACTCAGTTTATCGTTTTTTAACTTTAAATTTTTCAATTTTAGACTGTTTTATATAATTTTCAGGCTCCAGATTTTTCAATTTTTCGGCTTTTCGATTTCCCAATTTTTCAATTTTTTAATCTCCCAATTTTTGGATATTTCGTTCAATTTTGTGAGTTTTCTCAGTTTTTCGATTTTCAATTTTGGGATATTTTAGTATTTCGACTTTTGGATTTTTCACGTTCTGGATTTTTCGATTTCTCGACTTTTTACTTTTTGGATTTTCAATTTTTGGTTTTTTGAAATTTCGGTTTTCACAATCTTTCAACTTTTCGATATTTTAAGTTTTCAATTTTTAAAATTTTAAGTTTTTCGATTTCTGGAGTTTTCAGTTCTATATTTGAATTTTTCTATTTTCGATAACAGGTGTTAAGATATTTGAAAAGTGACTAGAGAACAGTACAGAGTGTTTGGACTACGTGAAGAGTTATTTATGCTCAACTGTTGTGTGACAATTCTGAGTGATCCCACCTTAAGAAGAAGAAATAAAAACAACTTTGGTAAATGTTTTGCGTAAATTGTAAAACCCATGTTAATATAAAAATATAAAAACACAGTTTCAACTTATCATAAGACCGTAAAAAAATCGAATTACATTTACCTGGTTATCACTATTATCAGTATTGCGGTACTGGTACTAAGCTTGAGAAGAGGCTTGAACGCGGCGACACAGGAATTAACGAGTTAGATAAAGCGTGTAAGGAGCACGATCTTGCATATTCAAGAAATATAACTTTCAAACAAATCAATTTCATCAAATAAAATTTAACCATAAGTATAGTACAGTGATAGCATAATATATATATATCATTATTAATACAGAAATAATATATATTTTTGCAAAACTTAAGTTCTTCGATTAATTACTAAAGGAATTCACTGGCTCATTTTTGTACTGATAAGATTCATGCACCTGTGGGGATTATTATATTCATAGCAATAACTTTAATTTCACTAAACATTTTTTACATTTGACTTTTCAAGAGTATTTTGTCGTTACGCAACCAACAATTATTATCACAAGTACCTTCGAATACTTATTTATATTTTTGGAGCGAAATACTTATCAAATATTTAATCATGTCGGATGTCTGTGTTCATCGAAAACCCTACAACATTTATCTCTCCATGACAAAGGTCACGGTTTATCTAGATTCCAGGATTCCTATATCAAGTAGATAAAAACTTCAATGTAATCAATACAGAGCATAATTTAATTAGTAAAAAATAAATAACAATAATCTACATTAACACTAACTTAGATACAACTGAGACACTTTCGAAGCCATAAACGTATCAATACTCTCTCCTTTTTTGTTGACGACTGTGGTATCTGCCCCATGTTCTTTAAGAAAATCACAAACTTCCACGTGACCATTTAAGGCGGCACACAGCAACGGCGTGTCACCATCACCATCTACTTTATTCACGTCAACACCTCTACTAACGAACAATTTCACCAAATCAAGAACTCCTTTGCCAGCGACGTAGTGCAAAACGTTGTTGTTGTGTGTATTGACAATGTTGACGTCAGCACCATGTTCTAACAAACACGTGACAATATCCAGATGGTCATTTGTTAACGCCACTAGTAAGGGCGAGAAATGTTGTTCTGTATCGACGATGTTAACATCCGCCTTATTGTCAACCAAGAACTTGACAATATTGATGTATCCTCCACAGGCAGCTTCATATAACGCAGTAGTGCCGACCGTGCTGGCTATATTGACATTGACACCGTTCTCTGTTAAGTACTTGACAATTTCAAAATGGCCTTTAAAAGATGCTGCGTGTAAGGCGGTAGAACCGGCTTCCGTACACATATTGACATCAGCTCCATGGACCACCAAGTGCTTCGCAATGTCAAGGTTTCCATTTATAGCACTCACAAACAAAGGAGCTTTTCCGTCGTCAGCAGCGATGTTAACGTCAGCTCCACTTGATGTCAAATATGTAACAACGTCGAAATGGTCGTTCAAAACAGCGGCGTACAACGCAGTTTCTTGGTTTTTGCCACAGTAATTAACTTCCAAGCCTAGACGAACGAAGTACTTAACCAACTCCAAAAATCCGTGACTGGCTGCTGCGACCAAACAGTTACCAAAAGCTTTGGCTTGGTTGTCGACCAAATATTTAACTAGTTCTAAATTTCCGTCATCTGTGGCTATATAAATTGGTCTCCACTTCTCGCAAAACGCATTATTGACATCGGCACCGTTCTCCACTAGAAACTTCACCAAAAGCATGTTGTTGAAAGCTGACGCTAGACCAAGTGCCGACATACCGTCGTCGTTCTGCGCGTTGATGTCGAGCTTTTTGGAAAGAAGGTACCTGACGATGTCAATCTGTTGGGATAGGGTGGCTATCATTATGACACTGTTGCCCATTTCGTCACGTACACTAAGATCGGTACCTTTTTTAATCAAGTATTTAATAACTTCGAATTGTGCGTCGGCAACAGCTTTAGTGAGAGGTGTAGCTCCTTTTTTGGTTCTTTGATTGATGTTAGCTCCTTTTTTTAGCAAGTACTTGACGATGTCCAATTGACCACTCGCAGCTGCCATGAGTAAAGCTGATTCTCCTTCCATAGTCGCGACATTAACGTTGTGTTTTTTCTCCAGAAGCACTTTGGTGATTTTTAAAGAACCAATGAGCGCTGCTAGGTGTAGCGGAGTTACACCATTACGTTCGGCGCAGTTGATCTTAGCCCCTTTCTTAATCAGAAATTTTGTAACGTGTGGATTTCCGCCAGCCAGAGAACCGAGTACTGAATTTATACCATCCACCGAAGCCATGTTGATGTCTGCTTTGTGGTCGAGGAGGAACTGGACGATTTCCAAGTGTCCCTGCGCGGAAGCTGCAATCAATGGTGTGTGTTTTCTGGAACTGGAGAGATTGACATCGGCGCCATTTTTCACCAAATATTCGACTAGAGGAAGATGACCGCTTCCGGCGGCTACTAGAAGAATTGAGGCTCCCTTGTCGTTTACGGCATTGATATCTACGTCGTTTGCCAGGAAGATTTTAACTAGATCTAGGTTTCCCAGTTCTATGGCGTCCCATAAGGACAATGCCACCTGGAAAAAAGTTGTGCAGTGGAAATTTGATAATAGAAACAATAAAGCTTACCAAAGAATCGCTCATTTTATTTGGCACAGTTTGAGGGTTGATGGTCTTTGGGTTGTATAAATAGAACTGGAATGAGAATGCAATAGTCTCCACTAATCATTTCTGAAACTAATAATACAGATAAATTTGATCGACGTCATCCTCGGAGATAAATACACACATTCGATATGAGATATCTGATAAAGAGCGGAAGTTGATAGTCACCAACTCACCATTTATGTATGTGTAACATGTTTTCTATTAAGCACTCGATATGATTATACAGGATGTTTGCGAAATGCACCGACAAAAAAATTGGAGGGGTTCCCGAGAGCATAAGGAATGAAAAAAAGTCCTGTCGTATTATCAAAAGTTGCAAAGTAAATTTCCAAGTTTTATTCGCGCCACTGTAAGAAGTGCTATCAGATCCAATTAATTCACGTTTCGTAAAAACATAGTAACCAAAAACTGACAACGAAAGGTGAAGTTTGAAAAATCTCAAGCTGATATAGACAATTTAATTTGATCAATGCCAAGGCGAGTAGCTGAGTGTTCGTTCAGTTTTTAAAAGTCCAAATCAATCAATTAGAGGATGAATATGCAACCCAACATACATGAAGTATCCTATTCCTTCATTTATTTGTTGTTTCTTTCGATTTACAATTTTTTTATTTATTCAATTTTTCAAATTTTTAGGGTTTGATTTTTCAATTCCATGGTTTTCCACGTTTAAAAATTTTCAATTTGCAGTTTTTGGATTTCCAGTTTTCTAATTTTAAGGTTTTCAATTTTTAGTTTTTGGATTTTTCAAATTTTCGTTTCTTTATATTTTCATGTTTGATTTTCACTTTCGATATTTTTCGAGTTTTCATTATATAATTTTTCGTTTTTTTATTTTCGATTTTTCAATTTTACAGTTTCTTGACATCTAAATTTTTCGATATTACAGTTTCTCATTTTTCGATTTTTCACATTCTCAGTTTTTAATTTTTGTCATTTTTAACTTTTTGTTTTCTCGACTTTATTTTTCATTTTCCCGATTTTTTTAATTTTCGTTTTCTCGATTTTATGTCACAAATTTTCATTTTTTCAATTACTATTTGTTATTGTTTCTTTCAATTTTTCATTTCTTTAATTTTTCGAATTTTCAGTTTTTCAATTTTTCGTTTCCAGAATTTTTATTTTTCAATGTGGCGAATTTTTAATTTTTATTTTCTCGATTTATATCACAATTGTCCGTTTTTTCATTTCCTTTATTTTCTGTGTTTTTTTTAGATTTTATAATTTTTCATTGGTTCAATTTTTCAAATTTTCGGGCTTTGAATTTTCAATTTTTAAATTTTTCACTTTGCAGTTTTTGGATTTCCAGTTTTCCGATTTTCCAATTTCTTTAATTTTAAATATTTCTATTTCATAATACACATTTCTTTTGTTTTTATTTTTCACTTTTTCGATTCTTAAGGTTTTTCAAATTTTCATTTAGTAATTTTTCGTTTTTTGTTATTGATTTTTCAATTTTAAAATTTCTCGACTTCCAAAATTTTCCATTTTTCGTTCCTTCAATTTTTCGGTTTTCATCAGATTTTCAGTTTGGCAATTTTTCAATATTACAGATTGTCGCTTTTCGATTTTTCACTTTCTCAATTTTTAATTTTTCCCTTTTCCAATTTTTTGTTACCGATTTTAATTTTTCATTTCCCCGACTTTTTAATTTTCACTTTTTCGATTTTATATCACAATTTTTTGTTTTTTTATTCCCTTTATTTTTTGTTGTTTCTTTCAATTTTACAATTTTTCGTTTATTCAATTTTTAAAATTGTCAGGTTTTTTTCAATTTTTTCAAATTTTCATTTTGTAATTTTTCGTTTTTTATTTTTGATTTTTCAATTTTAAAATTTCTCAACTTCCAAAATTTTCCATTTTTCGTTCCTTCAATTTTTCGGTTTCCATCAGTTTTCAGTTTGGCAATTTTTCAATATTACAGATTGTCACTTTTCGATTTTTCACTTTCTCAATTTTTAATTTTTCCCTTTTCCAATTTTTTGTTACCGATTTTTATTTTTCATTTTCCCGATTTTTTAATTTTCACTTTTTCGATTTTATATCACAATTTGTTGTTTTTTCATTCCCTTTATTTTTTGTTGTTTCTTTCGATTTTACAATTTTTTGTTTATTCAATTTTTAAAATTTTCAGTTTTTTTTCAATTTTTCTTCAAATTTTCAAATTTGATTTTCATTTTTTACATTTTTAAAGTTTTATTATACAGTTTCGTTTTTTTATTTTAGATTTTTCAATTTTAAAATTTGTGGACTTCCAAACTTTCCAAATTTTCAATATTACAATTTTTCATTTTTTCATTTTACAACTCCCCGATTTTTATTTTCCATTTTCCTAATTTTTTATTTTTCATTTTCTCGATTTTATATCACAATTTTTTGTTTTTTCATTTAATTAATTTTTGTTGTTTCTTTTGATTTTCCAATTTTTCGTTTATTCAGTTTTTCAAATTTTCAGGCCAATCGATTCCAATTCTTCGATTTTCCAATTATTAAATTTTTCAGTTTGCAGTTTTCGGGTTTCAAACCCTATTTTTCTTTTTTAAAATTTTTCAATCTTCTTTATTTCTCCATTTATCGAATAGAGATGTTTGGATGTTTTTATTGTTCAATTTCTCCATTTTTCAATTTCTTAATTTTTTTCTATTTCTCGATATTTCGATTTTCCAATTTTTCGATTTTTCAGTTATCCGATTTTTCATTTTTTTTTTTTTAAATTCTGTAGTTTCGATTTTTCGAATTTTAAGTTTAAGATTTTCGAATTTTTCTTTTTTGCGACATTTCAATTGTTCAATGTTTTCAATTTTAGATTTTTCGATTTCTGGATTTTTTGATTTTCCAGTTCTTCAGTATTTCTATTTTACGATTTTTCCCGTTTCTCGAATTTGCAGTTTCGATTTTTCGGTTCTTCAATTCTTCGATTTTTGGATTTTTCGATTGGCTAATTTTTTAATTTCTAAATTTTGGATTTTTATATATATTTCGATTTCTGAATTTTTCGAGTTTTCAGTTCTTGTATGTTTTAATTTTTTTTCCGAATTTTTTATTTTTCAATTTTTCAATTTTTTGAGGACTTGATTTATCGAGATTCGGATGTTTCGATGTTTTGATAGTCTCAGTTTTTGAATTTTTCGATGTTTCGATTTTTCGATTTATCGGTTTTTCATTTTTTTACTTCTCAGCTTTTCGATTTTTGAATTATCCGATTTTTCAACTTTCCAATTTTTTAAATTTTCAGTTTTGATGTTTCTGAATTTTCAGTTAACCGATTTTTCAATTTTTTTCAATTCTAGAGATTCGGTTTGTCGTTTTTTCAATTTTTTGATTTTTAAGTTTTAGATTTTCGAATTTTTCTTTTTTGATTTTTGTTTTCTCCATTTTTCAATTTTGCGATATTTCAATTGTTCAGTGGTTTAAATTTTAGATTGTTCGATTTCTGGATTTTTTGATCTTCCAGTTCTTCAGTATTTCTAATTTACGATTTTTCAAATTTTAACGTTGCTAAATTTTCAGTTTTCCGATTTTTCAATTAATATATATTTTTTGATTTTCCCGTTTCTGGAATTCGCAGTTTCGATTTTTCGGTTCTTCAATTCTTCGATTTTTGGATTTTTTGGTTGGCTAATTTTTTAATTTCTCAATTTTGGATTTTTGTTTCAGTTTGGGATTTTTTAATATTTCTATTTTTCCAATTTTCGATTTTTTATTTTTGGATTTTCAGTTTTTCGTTTTTTAAAATTTAGATTTTTCAATTTTCGACTGTTTTATATATAATTCGATTTCTGAATTTTTAGAGTTTTCAGTTCTTGTATATTTTCATTTTTCTTTTTTCCAAATTTTTTATTTTTCGATTTTTCAATTTTTTGAGGACTCGATTTTTGCAATTTTTCGATATTACAGTTTCTCATTTTTCAATTTTTCGTTTCCTCAGTTTTTCAACTTTTCGATTTTTATTTTCCATTTTCCCGATGTTTTATGTCAAAAATTTTCATTTTTTCAATTCCTTCATTTCTTGTTGTTTCTTTCGATTTTTCAATTTTTTATTTCTTCAATTTTTCAAAATTTTCAATTTTTCGTTTCCACAATTCTTTATGTTCCCAATTTTTATTTTTCAATGTGGCGAATTTTTATTTTTTATTTTCTCGATTTATACGACAATTGTCCGTTTTTTCATTCCTTTATTTTATTTGTTTTTTTAGATTTTATAATTTTTCATTTGTTCAATTTTTCAAATTTTCTGGCTTTGAATTTTCAGTTCGTCCATTTTTCAATTTTGAAATTTTTCACTTTGCAAGTTTTGGATTTCCGGTCTTCCGATTTTCCAATTTCTTTAATTTTAAATATTTCTATTTCATAATACATATTAATTTTTTTTTATTTTTCACTTTTTCGATTCTTAAGATATTTCAAGTTTTCATTTTGTAATTTTTAGTTTTTTATTTTTGATTTTTCAATTCTACAATTTCTCGACTTCCAAAATTTTCAATTTTTAGTTCCCTCAATTTTTCGGTTTGCATCAGTTTTTCAATTTGACAATTTTTCAATATTACAGATTTTCATTTTTCGATTTATAATTTTTCCCTTTTCCAATTTTTTGTTTCCGATTTTTATTTTTCATTTTCCCGATTTTTTAATTTTCACTTTTTCGATTTTATATCACAATCTTTTGTTTTTTCATTTCCTTTATTTTTGTTGTTTCTTTCGATTTTACAATTTTTCGTTTATTCAATTTTTCAAATTTTCAAGCCAATCGATTCCAATTCGTCGATTTTCCAATTTTTAAATTTTTCAGTTTGCAGTTTCCGGGTTGCCACCCCTTTTTTACTTTTTGGACTTTCAATTTTTTGTTAAACTTTAGATTTTTCAAATTTTCGACAGTTTTATACTTCGATTTCTCTTTTTTTTCAACTTTTCGATGTTTTAATTTTTCTTTTTTAAAATTTTTCAATTTCTTTTTTCTCGATTTATCGAATTCAGATGTTTAGATGTTTTTGTTCTTCAATTTCTCAATTTATCAATTTAACAATTTTTTTCTATTTCTCGATGTTTCGAGAAAACGGAAATTAAAAAAATCGAGAAAATGAAAAGTAAAAATCGAGAAGTTGAAAAATTGAGGAAACGAAAATTTGAAAATGACAACAATTAAAAACTGAAAATGTGAAAAATCGAAAAATGAGAAACTGTAGGTAATATCGAAAAATTGCAAAATTAAAAAATAGCAACTAGAAAAATTGAAAAATTTAGATGTCAAGAAACTGTAAAATTGAAAAATCAAAAATAAAAAAAACGAAAAAGTATACAATGAAAACTTCAAAAATGTCAAAAGTGAAAATCAAACATGAAAATTTGAAGAAACGAAAAAAAATCGAAATGCCGAAAAGTAAAAAAACGAAAAACCGATAAATGGAAAAATCGAAACATCGAAAAATTCAAAAACTGAGACAATTAAAACATCGAAACATCCGAATTTCGATAAATCGAATTCTCAAAAAATTGAAAAATCGAAAAATAAAAATTTCGGAAAAAAGAAAAATTAAAATATACAAGAGCTGAAAACTCGAAAAATTCAGAAATCGAAATATATATAAAACAGTCGAAAATTGAAAAAAACGAAAAACTGAAAATCCAAAAAATAAAAAATCGAAAAATCGAAAGTGCGAAATCGAAAAACGGGAAAATAAAAAAAAAAGTATATTAATTGAAAAATCGGAAAACTGAAAATTTAGCAACGTTAAAATTTGAAAAATCGTAAAATAGAAATACCTACTGAAGAACTGGAAAATTAAAAAATCCAGAAATCGAATCTAAAATTCAAAACCTCGAACAATTGAAATATCGCAAAATTGAAAAATGGAGAAATCAAAGAATCAAAAAAGAAAAATTCGAAAATCTAAAACTAAAAAATCTAAAAACTGAAAAATCCACAAATCGAAACTCCAGAATTTAAAAATATTGAAAACTCGGATAACTGAAAAATCCAAACATCGAAAAATTGGAAAATCGAAGAACCGAAAAATCCAAACATCCGAATTCGTTAAATCGAAAAATAAAATTAAATTGAAAAATTTTAAAAGAGAAAAATTATACCAACGCAAAAATGAGAAATCGAGGTATAGAACTGTCGAAAATTTGAAAAATCTAATGTTTAACGAAAAATCGAAAATCCAAAAATTAAAAAAAACTGCAAACAGAAAAATTTTAAAATTGGAAAATCGGCGAATTGGAATCGATTGGCCTGAAAATTTGAAAAATTGAATAAACGAAAAATTGGAAAATCGGAAGAAACAACAAAAATTAATGAATCGAAAAAACAAAAAATCGTGATATAAAATCGAGAAAATGAAAAATAAGAAATCAGGAAAATGCAAAATAAAATTCGGGGAGTTGAAAAATTGTGGGAACGAAAAATTGAAAAAGGGAAAAATTAAAAATCGAGAATGTGAAAAATGGAAAAATGAGAAATTGTAAAATTGAAAAATTTGAAAGTCGACAAATTGTAAAATTGAAAAATCAAAAATAAAAAAACGAAAAAGTATTGTACAAAACTTGAAAAATGCAAAAAGTGAAAATCAAACTTGAAAATTTGAAGGAAAATCGAAAAAAACCTGAAAATTTTAAAAATTGAATAAACGAAAAATTGTAAAATCGAAAGAAACAACAAAAAATAAATTAAATGACAAAACAAAAAATTGTTATATAAAATCGAAAAAGTGAAATAAAATTCGGAAACAAAAAAATTAGAAAAGGGAGAAATTAAAAATTGAGAAACTGACAAATCGAAAAATTGAATGAACGAAAACTTGAAAATTTTGGAAGTCGAGAAATCTTAAAATTGAAAAATCAAAAACAAAAAACGAAAAATTACAAAATGAAAACTTGAAGAATTTTAAGAAAATGGAAAATCGGAAAACTGGTAATGCAAAACTTGCAAACTGAAAAATTTTAAAATTGAAAAATGGACAAATTGAAAATTCATAGCCAGAAAATTTGAAAAATTGAACAAATGAAAAATTATAAAATAAAAAAAAAACACAGAAAATGAAGGAAGTGGAAACGGACAATTGTGACATAAGTCGAGAAAATAAAAATTAAAAATTGTCCGATTTTTCAACTTCCCAATTTTTTAAATTTTCAACTTTTGACGTTTCTGAATTTTCAGTTTTCCAATTTCTCAATTAATCTATTTTTTCATTTTCCCGTTTTCGACTTGCCAAGATTTCGATGTTTCAGTTTTTCAGTTCCTCAATTTTTTGATTTTTCAGGCTCCCGATTTTTCGGTTTTTCGATTCTTTAGGTTTGTAATTTTATTGGCTTTACGATTTCCCAATTTTTGGATATTTCGTTCAATTGTGTGAGTTTTCCCAGTTTTTCGATTCTTCAATTTTGGGATTTTTTAGTATTTCGACTTTTGGATTTTTCACGTTCTGGATTTTTCGATTTCACATTTTGTTTTTGGATTTTCAATTTTTCGTTTTTTGGAATTTCGGTTTTCACAATCTCTCAACTTTTCGATATTTTAAGTTTTTTTTCATTATCTAATCACTTTTCAAGAGTATTTTGTCGTTATGCAACCAACAATTATAATCACAAGTACCTTCCAATAGTTACTAAAAATAATAATAATAATATTAATAATAATAATAATAATATCATTACTTTGGTCTTAGTACCCGTAATGATAGAAGTCTTGCCTGAATGCCGGTCATTTCCGGGTCAGTGGTGGGTCATAATAATATAATAATAATAATAATAATACTTTATTTACCTTCAAAACACATTATACAAAAAAATACAGAAAATATTTAAGTGATTGTCAAAATAAAATAAAATAAAACAAATTTTTGGAGCGAAATACTAACCCTACAACATTTATCTCTCCACCACAAACTTTAATAAAATCAATGGAGGACACAATTTAATTAGTTCAAAATAAATTTACATTTTTAGAATTTTAGAATTTTCAACAATTTACATTACCACTAACTTTGATATAACTGAGACAATTTCGAGGCCAAAAACGTATCAACAGTCGCTCCTTTCTTGTTGACGACCGTAGTATCTGCTCCATGTTCCTTAAGGAAATCACAAACTTCCACGTGCCCACTTTCAGCAGCCCACAGCAACGGCGTGTCACCATCATCATCTACTTTATTTACTTCAACACCTCTACTAACGAACAATCTCACCAAATCAAGAAGTCCTTCGTCAGCAGCGTAGTGCAAAACATTGTTGTTGTGTGCATTGACAATGTTGATGTCAGCACCATGTTCTAACAAACACGTGATAATATCAAAATAGCCATTTTGTACCGCCGCTAATAAAGGCGAGTAATGATTTTCTGTAGCGACGATGTTAACATCCGCATTATTGTCAATCAAGAACTTGACAATATTTATGTATCCTCCACAAGTTGCTTCATATAAAGCAGTGGCGCCCATCATATTGGCCATATTGACATTGGCACGTTTCTCTATTAAGTACTTGACAATTTCAAAATGGCCTTTAGCAGATGCTGCGTGTAAGGGGGTAGCACCGTCTTCTGTACACATATTGACTTCAGCTCCATGGTCCACCAAGTGCTTCGTAATATCAAGGTTTCCATTAAAAGCACTCATAAACAAAGCAGCTTTTCCGTCGTCATCAGCGATGTTAACGTCAGCTCCACTTGATATCAAATATTTAACAACGTCGAAATGGTCGTCGCAAACAGCGACGAACAACGCAGTTTCTTTGTTTCTGCCATAGTAATTAACTTCTAAGCCTAGAATCACGAAGTACTCAACCAACTCCAAAAATCCTCGACTGGCCGCTACGACCAAATATTTACCATTCGCTTCGGCTTTGTTGTCGACCAAATATTTGACAAGCTCGAAATTTCCTTCAAGTGTAGCTGTATAAATCGGTTTCCACTTCTCGCAAGACGCATTATTGACATCGGCACCGTTTTCCAGTAGAAATTTCACCAAAAGCATGTTGTTGAAAACTGACGCTATACAAAGTGGCGACATACCGTCGTCGTTCTGCGCGTTGATGTCGAGCTTTTTGGAAAGAAAGTACCTGATGATGTCAATCTGTTGGAATCGAGTGGCTATCATTACGACGCTGTTGCCCAATTCGTCACGTACACTAAGATCGGCACCTTTTTTAATCAAGTACTTGATAACTTCGAACTGTGCTTTGGCCACGGCGTTGAAGAGAGGTGTAGCTCCGTTTTTGTTCTTCTGATTGATGTCAGCTCCTTTCTTTAGCAAGTACTTGACGATGTGCAAGTTACCACTCGCAGCTGCCATGAATAAAGCTGATTCTCCTTCAATAGTCGCAGCATTAACATTGAGGTTTTTCTCCAGAAGCACTTTGGTGATTTTTAAAGAACCAATTTTGGCTGCTATGTGCAGCAGATTTATACCGTCACAATCGGCGCAGTTAATGTTAGCGCCTTTCTCAATCAGAAATTCCGTAATGTGTAGATTTCCGCTAGCCAGAGAAACGAGTACTGAATTTTCACCATCCACCGTAGCACTGTCGATGTCTGCTTTGTGGTCGAGGAGGAATTGGACGATTTCCAAGTGTCCCCTCTGGGAAGCTGTAATCAGTGGTGTGTGTTTTCCAGAACCGGCAAGATTGACATCGGCGCCATTTTCCACCAAATATTTGACTAGAGGAAGATGACCGCTTGTGGCCGCTACTAGAAGAATTGATTCGCCCTTGTAGTTCACGGAATTGATGTCTCCGCCCTTTTCCAGGAAGTTTTTAAGTAGGTCAAGGTTTCCCAGTACTACTGATTCCCAAAAGAGGGATGTCACCTGGAAGAAGATTGTCTAGCGGGGGTTTGGTCAGTAACAAATGGACTTACCATAGAATCGCTCATCTTATTTAGCACAGTTTGAGGGTTGATGGGCTTTGGATCGTATAAATGCGACTGAAATGAGAATTCACTAGTGAACGATTGTGAAACCCATAAAATAGATAACGACTATTGACGTCATATTATACGGTAGGTAAATATACTGACACCTGAGATATCTGACAAAGAGAGGTGATTGATAGTCACCATATATATGTATATGTAACATGTTTTCTATTAAGCTCGGATTATAATTATGTCTCAAATTATAAAACCTAGATTCATTATTTACTACATTAATAATAACATAATTTAACAAAATTTTCAAGTAAATATTAAGAAATGTGGCAATGCATCAAAATTTATCTCTACTGATTACCTGTTATTGCTTTTATGATTCATTAAGTATTTGGATAAGGTACGCTTTCAAAATCGTATATATATGTATATATCCGATTACGATACAGGCTGTTCTTGAAACTTTTTAATCTATAAAAAAATCCTGCTATTTTTCTAGAATCTCCAAAATGAAATGTTGTAAATTATGAAATATTTTTTCTTTTGTTACTTTTACTGTAAAAAGTCCTGCATATATTTAGATGCCGTTTAGCTTCAAAGAGTTGAGTTGTAATCAGAAATTTACAAATGTATACGTGTAGCGAATATCCTTTTTTTTTATTCAGAAGCCGTGAAACTGGAACATCGGAAGGTTTAGAAATTGAAAAAGTCGAAAAATCGAAAAGTCCAAAACCAAAAATAAAACGATTAATCAAGAATTTGGGAAATCGAAAAATTTTCAAAAATTGAAACATTGAAAGAATCGAAAAATTGAAAAGTCGTAAAACTGAAACATCAGAAAACTAAGAAACCGAAAAATTAAAAAATCGAGACATCGAAAATTTGGAGATTTGATATATTGAAAAATTCCAAAACTGACACATCGGTAAATTGACGAATTGCAAATTTGAATAATCCCAAAACTGAATAATCGGTAAAGGGCGAAATCGAAAAATTGAAAAATTGAGAAACCGAAACAGGAGAAAACCGAGAAATGGAAACCTCGAAAAAAAGAAATCGAAAAATCGAGGAATCAGAACTTCTAAGAACCAAGAGATCGATTAATAGAGAAATTGAGAAATCAAAAAATAGAAAATTTAGAAACGTTACAAATTGAAACATTTAAAAATCGAAAAGTCCAAAAAAATGAAGGAATCGAAAAATGAGAAAACCCAGAAATCGAAGCCTGGAAAAAACGAAAAATCTAAAATTTAATAATCGAAAAATTGAGAAATCTAAAAAGTGAAAAATTGAGAAATCGAGACATCGAAAAGTCACCAAATTTAAAAATAGAGAAATCGAAATAGTGAAAAACTGTGAAATCGAAACATCGAAAAAATGGAAGTTGAAAATCGAAAAAAAAAATATACATATTTAAAAAAATTTTAAAAATGAAAAATCGAAAATGGAACGATTGAAGAATTGAAAAACTGAAAAATCGAGAAATCGAGAAATCAAAGGGTCCAAGTACCAAAAAATCGATTAATAGGGAATTGGAGAAATCAAAAACTCGAAAATTTAGAAAAGCTAGAAATTGAAAAATTGAAAAATTCAAAAGTCGTGAAACTGCAAGACGGAAGGTTTAAAAATCGAAAAAGAGAAAATCAAGAAATCAAAAAGTCGAGAAATCTAAAAAGCGAAAACCAAAAAAAAAGACTAATTTGGCGAATTTTTAATTTTGATTTTCTCGATTCATATCACAATTGTCCGTTTTTTCGTTTCCTTTATTTTCTGTTTTTTTTTTCGATTTTATAATTTTTCATTTGTTCAATTTTCCAAATTTTCAGGTTTTGAATTTTCAGTTCGTCCATTTTTCAATTTTTAAATTTTTCACTTTGCAGTTTTTGGATTTGTGGTCTTCCGATTTTCCAATTTCTTTAATTTTAAATATTTCTATTTCATAACACATATTTCTTTTTTTTATCTTTCATTTTTTCGATTCTTACGATTTTTCAAATTTTCATTTTGTAATTTTTCGTTTCTTATTTTTGATTTTTCAATTCTACAATTTCGCGACTACCAAAATTTTCAATTTTTAGTTCCTTCAATTTTTCGGTTTGCATCAGTTTTTCAATTTGGCAATTTTTCAATATTACAGATTTTCATTTTTCGATTTTTCAGTTTCTCAATTTTTAATTTTTCCCTTTTCCAATTTTTTGTTTCCGATTTTTATTTTTCATTTTCCCGATTTTTTAATTTTCACTTTTTCGATTTTATATCACAATTTTTTGGTTTTTGGTTTCCTTAATTTTTGTTGTTTCTTTCGATTTTCCAATTTTTCGTTTACTCAATTTTTCAAATTTTCAGGCCAATGGATTCCAATTCGTCGATTTTCCAATTTTTAAATTTTTCAGTTTGCAGTTTGCGGGTTTCCACCCCTTTTTTTCTTTTTGACCTTTCAATTTTTCGTTAAACTTCAGATTTTTCAACTTTTCGACAGTTTTATACATGGAATTCTCTTTTTTTTCAACTTTTCGATGTTTTAATTTTGCTTTTTTAAAATTTTTCAATTTTTTTTATTTCTCGATTTATCGAATTCAAATGTTTAGGATGTTTTTGTTGTTCAAATTCTCAATTCGATGTTTCGAGAAATGGAAAACTAAAAAATCGAAAGAAACAACACGAAATAAAGGAATTGAAAAAATGAAAATTTGTAACATAAAATCGAGAAAACGAAAATTAAAAAAATCGGGAAAATGAAAAATAAAAATCGAGAAATTGAAAAATTGAGGAAACGAAAAGTTGAAAATGACAACAATTAAAAACTTAGAATGTGAAAAATCGAGAAATTGCAAAATTAAAATAATGCAACTTTAGAAAAATTGAAAAATTTAGATGTCAAAAAACTGTAAAATTGAAAAATCAAAAATAAAAAAAAAACGAAAAAGTATATAATGAAAACTCCAAAAATGTCAAAAGCGAAAATCAAACGTGAAAATTTGAAGAAACGAAAATTTGAAAAATCGGATAATTCAAAAATCGAAATGCCGAAAAGTAAAAAAACGAAAAACCGATAAATGGCAAAATCGAAACATCGAAAAATTCAAAAACTGAGACAATTAAAACATCGAAACATCCGAATTTCGATAAATCGAGTTCTCAAAAAATTGAAAAATCGAAAAATAAAACGTTCGAAAAAAAGAACAAGAACTGAAAATTCAGAAATCGAAATATATATAAAACAGTCTAAAATTCAAAAATCTAAAGTTTAAAAAACGATAAACTGAGTTCACAAAAAATTGAAAAATCGAAACATAAAAACTTCGGAAAAAAGAAAAATTAAAAGATACAAGAACTGAAAACTCGAAAAATTTAGAAATCGAAATATGTATAAAACAGTCGAAAATTGAAAAAAACGAAAAACTGAAAATCCAAAAAATAAAAAATCGAAAAATCGGAACTGCGAAATCGAAAAACGGGAAAATCAAAAAAATATATATTAATTTAAAAATCGGAAAACTGAAAATTTAGCAACGTTAAAATTTGAAAAATCGTAAAATAGAAATACTGAAGAACTGGAAAATTAAAAAATCCAGAAATCGAATCTAAAATTTAAAACCTCGAACAATTGAAATATCGCAAAATTGAAAAATGGAGAAATCAAAGAATCAAAAAAGAAAAATTCGAAAATCTAAAACTAAAAAATCTAAAAACTGAAAAATCGACAAATCGAAACTCAATATTTTTGAAGAATTTAAAAATATTGAAAACTCGGTAAACTGAAAAATCGAAACATCGAAAAATTGGAAAATCGAAGAACCGAAAAATCCAAACATCCGAATTCGTTAAATCGAAAAATAAAATTAAATTGAAAAATTTTAAAAAAGAAAAATTATACCATCGCAAAAATGAGAAATCGAGGTATAGAACTGTCGAAAATTTGAAAAATCTAAAGTTTAACAAAAAATCGAGAATCCAAAAATTAAAAAAAGGGTGGACACCCAAAAACTGCAAACTGAAAAATTTTAAAATTGGAAAATCGACGAATTGGAATCGATTGGCCTGAAAATTTGAAAAATTGAATAAACGAAAAATTGGAAAATCGGAAGAAACAACAAAAATTAATGAATTGAAAAAACAAAAAATCGTGATATAAAATCGAGAAAATGAAAAATAAGAAATCAGGAAAATGCAAAATAAAATTCGGGGAGTTGAAAAATTGTGGGAACGAAAAATTGAAAAAGGGAAAAATTAAAAATCGAGAATGTGAAAAATGGAAAAATGAGAAATTGTAAAATTGAAAAATTTGAAAGTCGACAAATTGTAAAATTGAAAAATCAAAAATAAAAAAACGAAAAAGTGTATAATAAAAACTTGAAAAATGCAAAAGGTGAAAATCAAACTTGAAAATTTGAAGGAAAATCGAAAAAAACCTGAAAATTTTAAAAATTGAATAAACGAAAAATTGTAAAATCGAAAGAAACAACAAAAAATAAATTAAATGACAAAACAAAAAATTGTTATATAAAATCGAAAAAGTGAAATAAAATTCGGAAACAAAAAAATTAGAAAAGGGAGAAATTAAAAATTGAGAAACTGACAAATCGAAAAATTGAATGAACGAAAACTTGAAAATTTTGGAAGTCGAGAAATCGTAAAATTGAAAAATCAAAAACAAAAAACGAAAAATTACAAAATGAAAACTTGAAGAATTTTAAGAAAATGGAAAATCGGAAAACTGGAAATGCAAAACTTGCAAACTGAAAAATTTTAAAATTGAAAAATGGACAAATTGAAAATTCATAGCCAGAAAATTTGAAAAATTGAACAAATGAAAAATTATAAAATCAAAAAAAAACACAGAAAATGAAGGAAGTGGAAACGGACAATTGTGACATAAGTCGAGAAAATAAAAATTAAAAATTGTCCGATTTTTCAACTTTCCAATTTTTTAAATTTTCAACTTTTGACGTTTCTGAATTTTCAGTTTTCCAATTTCTCAATTAATCTATTTTTTCATTTTCCCGTTTTCGACTTGCCAAGATTTCGATGTTTCAGTTTTTCAGTTCCTCAATTTTTTGATTTTTCAGGCTCCCGATTTTTCAGTTTTTCGATTCTTTAGGTTTGTAATTTTATTGGCTTTACGATTTCCCAATTTTTGGATATTTCGTTCAATTGTGTGAGTTTTCCCAGTTTTTCGATTCTTCAATTTTGGGATTTTTTAGTATTTCGACTTTTGGATTTTTCACGTTCTGGATTTTTCGATTTCACATTTTGTTTTTGGATTTTCAATTTTTCGTTTTTTGGAATTTCGGTTTTCACAATCTCTCAACTTTTCGATATTTTAAGTTTTTTTTCATTATCTAATCACTTTTCAAGAGTATTTTGTCGTTATGCAACCAACAATTATAATCACAAGTACCTTCCAATAGTTACTAAAAATAATAATAATAATATTAATATTAATAATAATAATATCATTACTTGGTCTTAGTACCCGTAATGATAGAAGTCTTGCCTGAATGCCGGTCATTTCCGGGTCAGGGGTGGGTCATAATAATATAATAATAATAATAGTACTTTATTTACCTTCAAAACATATTATACAAAAAAATACAGAAAATATTTAAGTGATTGTCAAAATAAAATAAAATAAAACAAATTTTTGGAGCGAAATACTAACCCTACAACATTTATCTCTCCACCACAAACTTTAATAAAATCAATGGAGGACACAATTTAATTAGTTCAAAATAAATTTACATTTTTAGAATTTTAGAATTTTCAACAATTTACATTACCACTAACTTTGATATAACTGAGACAATTTCGAGGCCAAAAACGTATCAACAGTCGCTCCTTTCTTGTTGACGACCGTAGTATCTGCTCCATGTTCCTTAAGGAAATCACAAACTTCCACGTGCCCACTTTCAGCAGCCCACAGCAACGGCGTGTCACCTTCATCATCTACTTTATTCACTTCAACACCTCTACTAACGAACAATCTCACCAAATCAAGAAGTCCTTCGTCAGCAGCGTAGTGCAAAACATTGTTGTTGTGTGCATTGACAATGTTGACGTCAGCACCATGTTCTAACAAACACGTGACAATATCAAAATAGCCATTTTGTACCGCCGCTAATAAAGGCGAGTAATGATTTTCTGTAGCGACGATGTTAACATCCGCATTATTGTCAACCAAGAACTTGACAATATTTATGTATCCTCCACAAGTTGCTTCATATAAAGCAGTAGCGCCCATCATGTTGGCCATATTGACATTGGCACGTTTCTCTATTAAGTACTTGACAATTTCAAAATGGCCTTTAGCAGATGCTGCGTGTAAGGGGGTAGCACCGTCTTCTGTACACATATTGACTTCAGCTCCATGGGCCACCAAGTGCTTCGTAATGTCAAGGTTTCCATTAAAAGCACTCAAAAACAAAGGAGCTTTTCCGTCGTCATCAGCGATGTTAACGTCAGCTCCACTTGATATCAAATATTTAACAACGTCGAAATGGTCGTCGCAAACAGCGACGAACAACGCAGTTTCTTTGTTTCTGCCATAGTAATTAACTTCTAAGCCTAGACTCACGAAGTACTCAACCAACTCCAAAAATCCTCGACTGGCCGCTACGACCAAATATTTACCATTCGCTTCGGCTTTGTTGTCGACCAAATATTTGACAAGCTCAAAATTTCCTTCAAGTGTAGCTGTATAAATCGGTTTCCACTTCTCGGAAGACGCATTATTGACATCGGCACCGTTTTCCACTAGAAATTTCACCAAAAGCATGTAGTTGAAAACTGACGCTATACAAAGTGGCGACATACCGTCGTCGTTCTGCGCGTTGATGTCGAGCTTTTTGGAAAGAAAGTACCTGATGATGTCAATCTGTTGGAATCGAGTGGCAATCATTACGACGCTGTTGCCCAATTCGTCACGTACACTAAGATCGGCACCTTTTTTAATCAAGTACTTGATAACTTCGAACTGTGCTTTGGCCACGGCGTTGAAGAAAGGTGTAGCTCCGTTTTTGTTCTTCTGATTGATGTCAGCTCCTTTCTTTAGCAAGTACTTGACGATGTGCAAGTTACCACTCGCAGCTGCCATGAATAAAGCTGATTCTCCTTCAATAGTCGCAGCATTAACATTGAGGTTTTTCTCCAGAAGCACTTTGGTGATTTTTAAAGAACCAATTTTGGCTGCTATGTGCAGCAGATTTATACCGTCACAATCGGCGCAGTTAATGTTAGCGCCTTTCTCAATCAGAAATTCCGTAATGTGTAGATTTCCGCTAGCCAGAGAAACGAGTACTGAATTTTCACCATCCACCGTAGCACTGTCGATCTCTGCTTTGTGGTCGAGGAGGAATTGGACGATTTCCAAGTGTCCCCTCTGGGAAGCTGTAATCAGTGGTGTGTGTTTTCCAGAACCGGCAAGATTGACATCGGCGCCATTTTCCACCAAATATTCGACTAGAGGAAGATGACCGCTTGTGGCGGCTACTAGAAGAATTGATTCGCCCTTGTAGTTCACGGAATTGATGTTTCCGCCCTTTTCCAGGAAGTTTTTAAGTAGGTCAAGGTTTCCCAGTACTACTGATTCCCAAAAGAGGGATGTCACCTGGAAGAAGATTGTCTAGCGGGGGTTTGGTCAGTAACAAATGGACTTACCATAGAATCGCTCATCTTATTTAGCACAATTTGAGGGTTGATGGGCTTTCGATCGTATAAATGCGACTGAAATCAGAATTCACTAGTGAACGATTGTGAAACCCATAAAATAGATAACGACTATTGACGTCATATTATACGGTAGGTAAATATACTGACACCTGAGATATCTAACAAAGAGAGGTGTTTGATAGTCACCATATATATGTATATGTAACATGTTTTCTATTAAGCTCTGATTATAATTATGTCTCAAATTATAAAACCTAGATTCATTATTTACTACATTAATAATAACATAATTTAACAAAATTTTCAAGTAAATATTAACAAATGTGGCAATGCATCAAAATTTATCTCTACTGATTACCTGTTATTGCTTATATGATTCATTAGGTAATTAGATAAGGGACGCTTTCAAAATCGTATATATATGTATATATCCGATTACGAAACAGGGTGTTCTGCAATTTTTCTAGAATCTCCAAAATGAAATGTTGTGAATTATAAAATATTTTTTCTTTTGTTACTTTTATTGTAAAAAGTCCTGCATATAGATGCCGTTTAGTTTCAAAGAGTTCAGTTGCAATCAGAAATTGACAAATGTATATGTGTAGCGAATATCCTTTTTCTTTAATTCAGAAGCCATGAAACTGGAACATCGGAAGATTTAGAAATTGAAAAAGTCGAAAAATCGAAAAGCCGAAAACCAAAAAAAAAACGATTAATCAAGAATTTGGGAAATCGAAAAAATTTAGGAACATCAAAAATTGAAACATTGAAGGAATCGAAAAATTGAAAAGTCGTAAAACTGAAACATCAGAAAACTAAGAAACCGAAAAATTAAACAATCGAAAATTTGGAGATTTGAAATATTGAAAAATTCCAAAACTGACACATCGGTAAATTGACGAATTGCAAATTTGAATAATCCCAAAACTGAATAATCGGTAAAGGGTGAAATCGAAAAATTGAAAAATTGAGAAACCGAAACAGGAGAAAACCGAGAAATGGAAACCTCGAAAAAAAGAAAAATCTAAAATTTAAAAATCGAAAAATTGAAAAATTGAGAAATCGAAAAATCGGGGAATCAGAAGTTCTAAGAACCAAGAAATCGATTAATAGAGAAATTGAGAAATCAAAAAATAGAAAATTTAGAAACGTTACAAATTGAAACATTTAAAAATCGAAAAGTCCAAAATTTAGCAGAAATGTCACAAATTGAAAAATTGAAAAATTTATAAATCGAAAAATGAAGGAATCGAAAAATGAGAAAACCCAGAAATCGAAACCTCGAAAAAAAGAAAAATCTAAAATTTAATAGTAGAAAAATTGAAAAATTGAGAAATCGAGACATCGAAAAGTCACCAAATTTAAAAATAAAGAAACCGAAAAAGTGAAAAACTGAGAAATGGAAACATCGAAAAGTCGACAAATGGAAGTCGAAAATCAAAAAAAAACTATATACATATTTAAAAAAATTTTAAAAACGAAAAATCAAAAACTCGAAAATTTAGAAAAGTTACAAACTGAAAAATTGAAAAAATCAAAAGTCGTGTAACTGCAAGACGGAAGGTTTAAAAATCGAAAAAGAGAAAATCAAGAAATCAAAAAGTCGAAAAATGTAAAAAGCGAAAACCAAAAAAAAGGACTAATTTGGCGAAATTTTAAATTTGATTTTCTCGATTTATATCACAATTGTCCGTTTTTTCGTTTCCTTTATTTTCTGTTTTTTTTTTCGATTTTATAATTTTTCATTTGTTCAATTTTCCAAATTTTCAGGTTTTGAATTTTCAGTTCGTCCATTTTTCAATTTTTAAATTTCTCACTTTGCAGTTTTTGGATTTCGGGTTTTCCGATTTTCCAATTTCTTTAATTTTAAATATTTCTATTTCATAATACACATTTCTTTTTTTATTTTATACTTTTTCGATTCTTACGGTTTTTCAAGTTTTCATTTTGTAATTTTTCGTTTTTTATTTTTGATTTTTTAATTTTATAGTTTCTCGACTTCCAAAATTTTCAGTTTTTCGTTCCTTCCATTTTTCGGTTTGCATCAGTTTTTCAATGTGGCAATTTGTCAATATTACAGGTTTTCATTTTAGATTTTTCAGTTTCTCAATTTTTAATTTTTCCAGTTCTTCAGTATTTCTATTTTAGGATTTTTCAAATTTTGACCTTGCTAAATTTTTTTTGAAGACTCCATTTATCCAGATTCGGATGTTTCGATGTTTTGATAGTCTCAGTTTTTGAATTTTTCGATGTTTCGATTTTTCAATTTATCGGTTTTTCGTTTTTTTACTTTTCAGCTTTTCGATTTTCGAATTATCAAGTTTTGACGTTTTTGAATTTTCAGTTATCCGATTTTTCAATTTTTTTTTCTAGAGTTTCGGTTTGTCGATTTTTCAGTTTTTCGATTTTTAAGTTTTAGATTTTCGAATTTTTCTTTTTTTATTCTTTGATTTCTCCATTTTTCAATTTTGCGATATTTCAATTGTTCACTGTTTTAAATTTTAGGTTTTTCGATTTCTGGATTTTCTGATTTTGCAGTTCTTCGGTATTTCTAGTTTACGATTTTTCAAATTTTGACGTTGCTAAATTTTCAGTTTTCCGATTTTTCAATTAATATATATTTTTTTTATTTTCCCGTTTCTCAATTTCGCAGTTTCGATATTTCTGCTCTTCAATTCTTCGATTTTTGGATTTTTCGGTTGGTTAATTTTTTAATTTCTCAATTTTGGATATTTGTTTCAGTTTTGGGATTTTTCAACATTTCTATTTTTCGACTTTTCGATTTTTTATTTTTGGATTTTCATTATTGCGTTTTTTTTAAATCTAGATTTTTCAATTTTCATCTGTTTTATGTATAATTCGATTGATTTCTGAATTTTTAGAGTTTTCAATTCTTGTGTATTTTCATTTTCCTTTTTTCCAAATTTCTTATTTTTCGATTTTTCAATTTTTTGAGGACTCGATTTTTGCAATTTTTCGATTTTACAATTTTTCATTTTTCGATTTTTCACATTCTTAGTTTTTAATTTTTGTCATTTTCAATTTTTCGTTTCCTCAATTTTTCAACTTCTCGATTTTTATTTTCTATTTTCCCGATGTTTTATGTCACAAATTTTCATTTTTTCAATTCCTTTATTTCTTGTTGTTTCTTTCGATTTTTCAGATTTTCATTTCTTCAATTTTTCAAATTTTTCAATTTTTCGTTTCCACAATTCTTCATGTTCTCGAATTTTATTTTTTAATGTGGCGAATTTTTAATTTTTATTTTCCCGATTTGTATGACAATTGTCCGTTTTTTCATTTCCTTTATTTTCAGTTTTTTTTTAGATTTTATAATTTTTCATTTGTTCAATTTTTCAAATTTTCTGGCTTTGAATTTTCAGTTGGTCCATTTTTCAATTTTTAAATTTTTCACTTTGCAAGTTTTGGATTTCCGGTCTTCCGATTTTCCAATTTCTTTAATTTTAAATATTCCTATTTCATAATACATATTTCTTTTTTTTATATTTTTCACTTTTTCGATTCTTAACATATTTCAAGTTTTCATTTTGTAATTTTTCGTTTTTTATTTTTGATTTTTCAATTCTACAATTTCGCGACTACCAAAATTTTCAATTTTTAGTTCCCTCAATTTTTCGGTTTGCATCAGTTTTTCATTTTTCGATTTTTCAGTTTCTCAATTTTTAATTTTTCCCTTTTCCAATTTTTTGTTTCCGATTTTTATTTTTCATTTTTCCGATTTTTTAATTTCCACTTTTTCGATTTTATATCACAATTTTTTGGTTTTTGATTTCCTTAATTTTTGTTGTTTCTTTCGATTTTCCAATTTTTCGTTTATTCAATTTTTCAAATTTTCAGGCCAATGGATTCCAATTCGTCGATTTTCCAATTTTTAAATTTTTCAGTTTGCAGTTATCGGGTTTCCACCCCTTTTTTACTTTTTGGACTTTCAATTTTTCGTTAAACTTTAGATTTTTCAAATTTTCGACAGTTTTATACTTCGATTTCTCTTTTTTTTCAACTTTTCGATGTTTTAATTTTGCTTTTTTAAAATTTTTCAATTTTTTTTATTTCTCGATTTATCGAATTCAAATGTTTAGGATGTTTTTGTTGTTCAATTTCTCAATTTATCAATTTCACAATTTTTTTATATTTCTCGATGTTTCGAAGAGTCGAAAAATCGAAAAGTCCAGAAAAAAAAGATTAATCAAGAAATTGGGAAATTGAAAAATTTAGAAACGTCAAAAATTGAAACTTTTAAAAATCGAAAATTGAAAGAATAGAAAAATTGAAAAATCGTAAAACTGATACATCGAAAAATTAAGAAATCGAGAAATTAAAAAATCGAGAAAAAAAAATTTGAAGAGTTGAAAAATTTAAAAATTCCAAAACTGAAACAACAGTAAATTGAAGAATCGGAAAAGTGAAAAATCGAGAGATCGCAAATTTGAAGAATGGAGAAATTGAGGAATCTAAAAATTGAAATATTGAAAATTGGAAAATAGAAAAATTGAAAAATCGAGAAATCGAAAAATTTTAAAATCGAAAAGTCAAAAATTGAAGAATTGTAAAATACAAAAGTCCCAAAACTGAATGACGGTGAAGTGCGAAATCGAAAAATTGAAAAATTGCGAAATCGAAAAGTCGAAAATTGAAAAATCGAAAAAATGAAAAATTGAGAAATCGAAACATGGAAAAGTCGGCAAATTGGAAAATTAAAAAAACGAAAAAGTGAAAAACTGAAAAGTCGAGACATTGAAAAATTTTAACTCTGAAATGACGAAAAATTAGGAAATGGAAAAATTGAAAAATCGAAACATAGAAAGATTGAGAAGTCGGGAAGTCGAAAAATCAAAACACAGAAATCGAGAAAAGGAATAGTTGAAAAACCAAAAATAGTTAAAAATTGAAAATTTTGAAATTAAAAAGAATATGGAAACCTCGATAAATCAAGAAATAAAAAAATTGAAAAATCTAAAATCAAGATCGAAACATCAACAAATTGAAAAATCTGAAATGCAAAAATTCGATGAATTTAAAAATCGATGAACTGAAAAATCAAAACATCGAGAAACCGAAAAATCTAAATTCTTTAAAATTGAAAAACTAAAACATTGAAAAACTGAAAAACCGGGAAAATTGAATCGAAAGTTTGAAAAATTAAGAAATCGAAAACTTTAAATTCAAGAAATCGAAAAGTCACAAAATCAGAAAATTGAAAAATCAAACACCCGAAACTAAAAAAACTGAAAAATTGAAAATCTGAAAATGGAAACCACGAAAAATTGAGAAATCGAGAAACGGAAAAATAAAAAAATAATTAATCGAGATTTTAAGAAATCGAGAAATTGAAAATTTTTAAACGTCAAGAATTGAAATATTGAAAAAATAAAAAAAAAAACGAAAAATTGAAGAGTCAAAAAATTGCAAAGTCGTAAAACTAAAACATCAGAAAATGGAGATATCTAAAATTTGAGGAATCGAGAACTTGAATCATCAAAAAATTCATAAATCCCAACAAAAAATTGAACATTTAAAAACTGAAACATCGGAAAATCAAAATTTCAAAAGAATGAAAAATTGAATTGAAATCTAAAAATTAAAAATCAAAACATTGAAAAATCGAAAAACCAAGACAGAAAAATCGAAAATCAAAAATTGAAAAATCAGAAAATTGAATCGAAAAATGGAGAAATGGAAAAATTCCAAAACTGAAAAACGAAAAATTTAACAAAAAATAGGAACATCGAAATCTCGGTAAATCAAGAAATAGAAAAATTGAAAAACAAAAAACTGAACAAACGAAAAATTTAAGAACCGAAAAATTGAAAAATCGAGAAATCAAAAATTTGAAGAATTGAAAAATTAAAAATTCCAAAACTGAAACATCGGTAAATTGAAGAATCGAAAAATTGAAAAATCTAAAAATCGGAAATTTGAAGCACAGAGAAATTGAAGAATCTAAAAATTGAAAAATCGAGAAATTTAAAAATTAAAAAATTGAAAAATCTGAAGCATCGGTAAATTGAGAAATCGAAAAATTGAATGATCTAAAATTCGAAAATTAAAAAAAGAACGATTAATCAAGAATTTAGAAATCGAAAAATTTAGGAACGTCAAAAACTGAAACATAAAAATCGAAAATTGAAAGAAAATCGATTAATTCAGAAATTGAGAAATTGAAAAATCAAAAATTTAGCAAAAATGTCAAAAATTGGAAAATTCATAAATCGAAAAATGAGAAAAGCGAGAAATCGAAACATCGAAAAAAAAACCTAAAATTTAAAAATTTGAAAATTAAAAAAATCGACAAAGTGCAAAGTTGAGAAATCGAAACATCGAAAAGTCGCCAAATCAAAAAATTAAAAAATTGAAAAAGTGAGAAACTGAGAAATCGAAATATCGACAAGTCGACAAATCGAAGTCGAAAATAAAAAAAAATGTATTTAAAAAAACTAAAAAAATTAAAAATCAAAAATACAACCTTTGAAGAATTGAAGAACTGAAAAATCAAAAAATTGGGGAATCAAGAGATCTAAGAAGTCGAAAAATCGATTAATCAAGAATTTGGAAATCGAAAAAGTTAGGAACGTCAAAAATTCAAACATTTAAGAATCGAAAAATTGAAAAGTCGTAAAACTGAAACATCGGTAAATTGAAGAATTGCAAAATTGAAAAATCCCAAAACTGAATAATCGGAAAATTGCGAAATCGAAAAATTAAAAAATTAAGATATCGAAAAATCGGTGTCGAAAATCCAAAATTTAAAAATTGTAGAAACTGAAAAGTCAATAGCTTGAAAAATCAAAAAATTGAAAAAGCCCAAAACTGTACAACTGAAAAACTAAAGAATTAAAAAATCGAGAAGTCGAGAAATTGAAAATTCGAAAAACCAAAAAATCGATTAATTCAGAAATTGAGAAACCGAAAAATCGAAAATTTAGCGGAAATGTCAAAACTTGAAAATCGAAAAACGAAAGAACCGAAAAATGAGAAAACCAAGAAATCGAAACGTCGAAAAAAAGAAAAATCGAAAAAGGTGAAAAAATGAGAAATCGAAACATGGAAAAGTCGGCAAACTGAAAAATTAAAAAATCGAAAAAGTGAAAAACTGAAAAGTCGAGACATTGAAAAATTTTAACACTAAAATGTCGAAAAATTGGGAAATGGAAAAATTGAAAAATCGAAACATCGAAAGATTGGAAAGACGGGAAGTCGAAAAATCTAAACACAGAAATCGAGAAAAGGAATAGTTGAAAAACCAAAACTAGTTAAAAATTGAAAATTTTGAAATTAAAAAGAATATCGAAATCTCGATAAATCAAGAAATAAAAAAAATGAAAAATCTAAAATCAAGAGCGAAACATCAACAAATTGAAAAATCTGGAATGCAAAAATTCGATGAATTGACGAATCGAAGAACTGAAAAATCAAAACATAGAGAAATCGAAAAATCTAAATTTTTTAAAATTGAAAAACTAAAACATTGAAAAATTGAAAAACCGGGAAAATTGAATCGAAAGTTTGAAAAATTAAGAAATCGAAAACTATTGAATTGAAAAATGGAGAAATTGAAAAATTCCAAAACTGAAAATCGAAAAATTGAACAAAAAATAGGAACATCGAAATCTCGGTAAATCAAGAAATAGAAAAATTGAAAAACAAAAAACTGAAGAAACGAACAATTTAAGAACCGAAAAATTGAAAAATCTAGAAATCAAAAATTTTAAGAATCGAAAAAGTGCAAAATCTAAAAATCGGAAATTTGAAGCACAGAGAAATTGAAGAATTTAAAAATTGAAAAAGTGATCAGAGAAATCGAAACATCGAAAATTTAGCAGAAATGTCAAAAATTGAAAAATCGAGAAATTTAAAAATCAAAAAATTGAAAAAGTATTAATCAAGAAATTGAAAGTTGTAAATCTGAAACATCGGTAAATTGAGAAAACGAAAAATTGAATGATCTAGAAAACGAAAAGAAAACATTGGAAAATTAAGAAATTGAAAAGTGTAAAAACCGAAAAATCGAAAATTTTCACAATTAATATTGTGGGTGCCCATAAATGAGATCTTGGAAAAACCCGTCCGCATTACTATAAAACGTCGGTACTTATTAATCTGCATACTGCCAATGGCCGACTGTATTAAAATTGTATTAAAATTAAGATTTTCACCAATGACTTATAATTATTATATTAATTTTGAACTTCTGCTATTTGCATTGAGATATGTTTCCATAGCAACTTATCCGTAACATACAAGAAAGCACATATTCTGGTCACTAAAAAAACGTTTTGAACAGGGATATTTTCAGGACACTAGGTATTTATAACTGTAGGTTGTACAATCGTATCCAGTGCTTAATAGAAAACGTGTTACATAAGTGGTGACCATCAAATACCTCTCTTTATTTATCAGATATGCCATATCGAATGTCAATATTAATCTCCCATAGATGACGTCGATCATAGTATCTCCATTATGAGTTTCACAATCGTTCACTACTGTATTCTGATTTCAGTTACATTTATACAACCCAAGGACCACCAACTTTCAAACTGTGCTAAATATAATGAGCGATTCTTTGGTAAGCTTTATTGTTTCTATCGCCAAACCCCCACTATACAACCTTTTTCCAGGTGGCATTCTCCTTATGGGACGCCGTAGCACTGGGAAACCTCGACCTTGTCAAAATCTTCTTGGCAAACGACGTAGACATCAATGCCGTGAACGACAAGGGAGCCTCAATTCTTCTAGTAGCCGCCGGAAGCGGTCATCTTCCTCTAGTCGAATATTTGGTCAAAAATGGCGCCGATGTCAATCTTGCCAGTTCTGAAAAACACACACCACTGATTGGAGCTTCCCTGAAGGGACACTTGGAAATCGTCCAGTTCCTCCTCGACCACAAAGCAGATATCAACAGTGCTACGGTGGATGGTGTCAATTCAGTACTCGGTTCTCTAGCTAGCGGAAGTCCACACGTTACGCAATTTCTGATTAAGAAAGGGGCGAAAATCAACTGCGCCGATTGTAACGGTTTAACTCCGCTGCATCTAGCAGCCGCCATTGGTTCTTTAAAAATCACCAAATTGCTTCTTGAGAAAAAGCACAGTGTTAATGCCGCGACTATGGAAGGAGAAACAGTTTTACACATGGCAGCTTCGACTGGTGAATTGGACATCGTCAAGCACTTGCTAAAGAAAGGAGCTAACATCAATCAGAAGAGCAAAAAAGGAGCTACACCTCTCTTCAACGCCGTGGCCAAAGCACAGTTCGAAGTTATCAAGTACTTGATTAAAAAAGGTGCCGATCTTAGTGTACGTGACGAATTGGGCAACAGCGTCGTAATGATAGCCACTCTATCCCAACAAATTGACATCATCAGGTACATTCTTTCCAAAAAGCTCGACATCAACGCGCAGAACGACGACGGTGCGTCGGCACTTTGTATAGCGTCAGGTTTCAACAACATGCTTTTGGTGAAATTTCTAGTGGAGAACGGTGCCGATGTCAATAATGCGTCTTGCGACAAGTGGAAACCGATTTATACAGCTACAGATGAAGGGAATTTTGAGCTAGTCAAATATTTGGTCGACAACAAAGCCGAAGCTAATGGTAAATGTTTGGTCGTAGCGGCCAGTCGAGGATTTTTGGAGTTGGTTAAGTACTTCGTTCGTCTAGGCTTGGAAGTTAATTACTATGGCAAAAAGAAACAAACTGCGTTGTATGCCGCTGTTTTCAACGACCATTTCGACGTTGTTACATATTTGACATCAAGTGGAGCTGACGTTAACATCGCTGCTGACGACGGAAAAACTCCTTTGTTTGTGAGTGCTTTAAATGGAAACCTTGACATTACGAAGCACTTGGTGGACCATGGAGCTGATGTCAATGTGTGTACAGAAGCCGGTTCTACCTCCTTACACGCAGCATCCGCTAAAGGCCATTTTGAAATTGTCAAGTACTTAACAGAGAACGGTGTCAATGTCAATATAGCCTGTTCGCAGGGCACTACAGCTTTATATCAAGCTGTCTCTGGAGGATACATCAATATCGTCAAGCTCTTGGTTGACAATAATGCGGATGTTAACATCGTCGATACAGAAGATCATTTCTCACCCTTATTAGTGGCGTTAACAAATGACCATCTGGATATTGTCACGTGTTTGCTAGAACATGGTGCTGACGTCAACATTGTCAATACACACAACAACAACGTTTTGCACTACGTCGCTGGCAAAGGACTTCTTGATTTTGTGAAATTGTTCGTTAGTAGAGGTGTTGACGTGAATAAAGTAGATGGGGATGGTGACACGCCGTTGCTGTGTGCTGCTGAAAACGGTCACGTGGATATTTGTGATTTTCTTAAGGAACATGGGGCGGATACCACGATCGTCAACAAAAAAGGGGCGACTGTTGATACGTTTATGGCTTCGAAAGTGTCTCAGTTGTATCTAAATTAGAGTTAATGTAGGTTACGATTATTTATTTTTTTACTAGTTAAGGTACGTCCTGTATTAAAAAAAATCGAAAAACTGTAAAATTTTTAAATCGTCCATACATCATAATTCTATGACAGACTGTGGGGATTATTTTATGTCCGGGTTCAGCAAGATCGAAGCATCTTTCTGATCCCGAAGGCCAAATCGGAAACAATTTATCTTATCATTTTTTTTTTTTTAGTTTAATTAATGAGTTTTTAATATAAGATACGATGAATTGTGAAAGACATTTTTCTAAGTATTGTCAATCAAACAAGTTTATCTAAGATTAATAAATTTAGATTACGCACTGGAACTTTCACAATACCCGTTATCGAAACTTTTCACCACTCTAAATTTAAAATACCGAGAAATCGGAGCATCAAAAAGAAGAAATGAAAAACTGAAAAGTCGAGACATTGAAAAATTTTAACACTGAAATGACGAAAATATTGGGAAATGGAAAACATAGAGAAACCGAGAAAAGGAATAGTTGAAAAATCAAAAATAGTTAAAAACTGAAAATTTTGAAATCAAAAAAAATATGGAAATCTCGATTAATCAAGAAATTAAAAAATTGAAAAATCTAAAATCGAGACCGAAACAACAAATTGAAAAATTTGAAATGCAAAAATTCGATGAATTGAAGAATCGAAGAACTGAAAAATCAAAACATCGAGAAATCGAAAAATCTAATTATTTTAAAATTGAAAAATTAAAACATTGAAAAATTTAAAAACCGGGAAAAATTGAATCGAAAATTTGAAAAATCCCAAATCTGCAATATCGAAAAATTAAAAAATCGAAAATTTTAAAATTCAAGAAATCGAAAAGTCGAAACATCAAAAATTGAAAAATCAAACACCTGAAAATAAAAAAACGGAAATATTGAAAACCTGAAAAATGGAAAACATGAAAAATGAGAAATCGAGAAATGGAAAAATAAAAAAATAATTAATCGAGATTTTAAATTGAAAATTTTAAAACGTCAAGAACTGAAAAATTGAAAAAATTAAAAAAACGAAAAATTGAAGAGTCAAAAAATTGCAAAATCGTAAAACTGAAACATCAGAAAATTGCGATATCCAAAATTTGAGGAATCGAGAACTTGAATCATCGAAAAATTGAAAAGTTGTAAAACTGAAGCCTCGGAAAATTGAAGAACCGAAAAATTGAAAAATCGAGAAATTGAAAAATTGAAAAATCGTGAAAATGAAAAATCGACAAATCGAAAAGTCAAAAAATGGAAGAATTGCAAATCGGAAACACTTTATTTTCTCATTTTTTTTTTTAGTTTAATTAATGAGTTTTTAATATAAGATACGATGAATTGTGAAAGACACTTTTCTAAGTATCGTCACTCAAACAAGTTTATCTAGGATTAACAAATTTAGATTACGCACTGGAACTTTCACAATACCCGTTATCGAAACTTATCACCACACTAAATTTAAAATACCCAGAAATCAAAACATGAAAAAAATCGAAGAATTGAAAAACTGAAAAGTCGAGACATTGAAAAATTTTAACACTGAAATGACGAAAAATTGGGAAATGGAAAAATTGAAAAATCGAAACATCGAAAGATTGGAAAGTCGGGAAACTGAAAAATCAAAACAGAGAAATCGAGAAAAGGAATAGTTGGAAAACCAAAAATAGTTAAAAATTGAAAATTTTGAAATAAAAAAAAATGGAAATCTCGATAAATTAAGAAATAACAAAATTGAAAAATCTAAAATCGAGACCGAAACATCAACAAATTGAAAAATCTGAAATATCAACAATTCGATGAGTTGAAGAATCGAAGAATTGAAAAATCAAAATATGGAGAAATCGAAAAATCTAAATTTTTTAAAATTGAAAAATTAAAACATTGAAAAATTGAAAAATCGGGAAAGATTTAATCGAAAATTTGAAAAATCCCAAATCTGCAAAATCGAAAAATTTAAAATTCAAGAAATCGAAAAGTCGAAAAATCAAAAAATTGAAAAATCAAACACCTGAAAATAAAAAAACCGAAAAATTGAAAATCTGAAAAATGGGAAAATAATTAATCGAGATATTAAGAAATGGAGAAATTGAAAATTTTAAAACGTCAAGAATTGAAAAATTGAAACAATTAAAAAAAACGAAAAATTGAAGAGTCAAAAAATTGAAAATCGAAAAACTGAAACATCAGAAAATTCAGGTATCTAAAATTTGAGGAATCGAGAACTTGAATCAAATGAAAAATTGAAAAATCCTAACATAGAAATATCAAAAAATTGAACATCAGGAAATCGAAATTTCAAAAAAATGAAAATTTAAAAATTGAAAAATCGAAAAACAGAGACATCGAGAAATCGAAAATCAAAAATTCAAAAATCGGAAAATTGAATCGAAAAATGGAGAAAATGAGAAATTCAAAAACTGAAAATCGAAAAACTGAACAAAAAATAAGAACATCGAAATCTCGGTAAATCAAGAAATAGAAAAATTGAAAAACAAGAAACTCGACAAACAAAAATTTAAGAACCGAAAAATTGAAAAATCGGGAAATCAAAAATTTTGAAAATCGATGAATTCAAAAACCAAAAAATCTAAAATCGATAAATCGAAAAATCGAGAGAAACCGAAACATCATTCTAAAAAGTCTAAAGTATAAAAATTGAGAAATCGAAAAACCGAGAAATCGAAAACAGTGTTAAAAAAATCGCAAAAATTGAAAAATCGAAAAATGAAGAAATTGAAAAATTCCGCAACTGAAATGACCATAAATTGAAAAACGGAAAGTCGAAAAATCGAGAAATCAAGAAACCCAAAATTTAAAACATTGCAAAAATTGAAAAATCGGAAAACTGAACAATCGAAAAACTGAAAAATCGAGACATTGAAAAACTCTAACACTGAAATGGCGAAAAATTGAAAAATCTAAACATCGAAAAATTGGAAAATTGGATAGTCGGGATGTCGAAAAATAGAGAACTCGAGAAACGGAAAAGTTGAAAAATCAAAAATAGTTAAAAATTGAAAATTTTTAAATTAAAAAAAATCAAAATCTCGATAAATTAAGAAAAAGAAAATTTGAAAAATAAAAACTGAACAATTGAAAATTTTAAAACCTAAAGAACTAAAAATCGAAAAATCAAACATTTTAATAATCGAAAAATTGAAAACGCGAAAAATCGAGAAAAATTTAAAAATTGAAATATTAAAAAATTGAAAAACGGATGGAAAATTCAATCGAAAAATTGAAAATCCCAAATCTGAAATATCGAAAAACTAAAGAATCGAAAAATTGAAAATTCAAGAAATCGAAAAATCGAAAAATTAAAAAATTAAACATCTGAAAATAAAAAACTGAAGAATTGAAAATCTGAAAAATGGAATCATTAAAAAATTGAGCAATCGAGAACTGGAAACATCAAAAATAAAAAATTCAAAAACCGAGAAATCCAGAAATCGAAAATCAAAAATTTAAAAAATCGCAAAACTTGAAAATTCGGAAAATTGAATCGAAAAATCGAGAAATCAAAAAATTCTTAAACTGAAACGACGAAAAAAATAGAAACATCTAAAAATTGGAAAATCGAAAATCCCCAAAGTCAAAAAATCGAATGGCTGAAAATTGGAAAAATGAAAAATTTGATATCAAAAAATCGAAAAATTTATCAAAAAACGGAACATCGAAATCTTGATAAATCAATAAATATTTTATAAAATTAAAAAATTAAAAACTGACAATCGAAAAATTAAGAGCCGAAAAATCGAAAAATCGAAAATTTTACAAACCCTACTATCCAGAAATCAAAAAATCTAAAGAAACCGAAACATCAAACTGAAAAATCTAATATATAAAAATTCGATGAATTGTAAAATCAAAAAATTGAGAAATCAAAAATTCTAAATTTTGTTAATTGAAAAACTAAAACATCGAAAAACTGAAAAATCACAAATTTCAAATATGGAAAAATTGAAAAATCAAGAAATTGAAAAGTCGAGAAATCGAATCAAAAAATTGAAAAATCAAAAACCTGACAATCGAAAAGTTGAAAAATTGAAATTCTGCAAAATCCAAACATTGAAAATTTGGGAAATCGGGAAATTGAAAATTTAAAAACGTCAAGAATTGAAAAATTGAAATCTTGAAAAACGAAAAATTGAAAAATCCAAAAATTTGCAAAATAAAACATTACAAAATTGAAAAATCGAAAAATGAGGAAATCGTGAAATCGAAAATTTGAGGAATCGAGAATTGAAAAACCGAAAAATCGAAAAACCGAGACATCGAGAAATCAAAAATCAAAAATTGAAAAATCGGAAAATTGAATCGAAAAATGGAGAAATTGAAAAATTCCAAAACTGAAACGATGAAAAAATTCGAAACATCTAAAAATTGGAAAATGTAAATTCCCAAAAGTCAAAAATCGAAACATCGAAATTGGTCAGAATCAAAAAATCGAACGACCGATTCTCCAAATCGAAACGTTGAAAAATTGACAAATCGAAAACTTGAAAATCGGACAATCTAAAAATCGAAAAGTCGAAAAATCTTTAAAATCGAATAATCTTAAATTTAAGATTCGAAAAATTGAAAAATTGAAATACCGAAGAACTTAAAAATCGAGAAATTTGAACATCAAAAAAATCGAAAAATTGAAAAATTAAAAAGCCTGAAATTTAAAATCGAAGAATTGAAAAACTGAAAAGTCGAAACATTGAAAAATTTTAAGACTGAAATGACGAAAAATTGGGAAATGGAAAAATTGAAAAATCGAAACATCGGAAAATTGGAAAGTCCGGAAGTCGAAAAATCAAAAACTCGAAACATCAAAACAGAGAAATCGAGAAAAGGAATAGTTGAAAAACCAAAAATAGTTCAAAATTGAAGATTTTGGAATTAAAAAAAATATGGAAATCTCGATAAATCAAGAAAATTGAAAAATCTAAAATCGAGACCGAAACACCAACAAATTGAAAAATTTGAAATGCAAAAATTCGATGAATCGGAAGAACTGAAAAATCAAGACATCGAGAAATTGAAAACTCTAAATTTTTTAAATTTGAAAAATTAAAAGATTGAAAAATTGAAAGTCTGAAAAATGGAAACCATGAAAAATTGAGAAATCGAGAAATGGAAAAATAAAAAAATAATTAATCGAGATTTTAAGAAATCGAGAAATTGAAAATTTTAAAACGTCAAGAATTGAAAAATTGAAAAAATTAAAAAAACGAAAAATTGAAGAGTCAAAAAATTGCAAAATCGTAAAACTGAAACATCAGAAAATTGCGATATCTAAAATTTGAGGACTCGAGAACTTGAATCATCCA